ATATTATATTATATTATATTATATTATATTATATTATATTATATTATCCCTCCATAATGAGAGATAAGAAAGAATTAGATATCTAATGGTACTTTTCCATTATAACCTATTCAATGCTGCTCGGCTCTCCATGCGTCATCAGGGCTTGGCTCACATGGTTTTCCACTACAAGCGAGCCATCCCCATTAGCCCTTCTTAAGGATATGCACTGAACGTAAGTGGTTTCAGTGCTACAGGGGCCCATCATAGATTAGTGTGAATGTGGTAAGATTCCAGTGAGGTCATCGTTCTATTAAAATTTCACCAACTAATTTTTTCTGAGCCTCATTACATTTTCCAAAAAAAAGAAAAAAAGAAAAAAAGAAAAAAGGACAAAGATATCCACATAAAATAAACTTTTTTTTTCTTAACTACTGATTGATTCCTTATGATCACAGATTTGCATTGCAGTTGAAATTCCTTTGATAATCTGTATAATCTGTAATATGGTTGCGTGAATGAATGTGTCAAAAAATGGCCGGTAAATTACCTGTCGAATACGGTGAATTTTCTTTTCATCTGATTCTGCAATGTAGAGGACACCACTGTAGGACAGGGCGATGGCCGTTGCCCCCTCCAACATGGTTTGCACCGCTCTTTTACCCAAGGTGTACTCTATACCGGGCACCTGGCAGTGCATGGGGCGACCCGCCACAATACGAACCTGAACACACACACAAACAGAACCAACCCACAGAATTATTTCATGAGAAACGTTTGTTAAGTATGACATTACATGTGAACATCATAGACGGACGTCAATATACATGAATACGATACCTGTCTATTTTCAGTTATCTGCAGCACCACATTGTTGTCCAGGACAAAGATGGAGTTATCCATGGGGTTGATGGCCAGATCTGTGGGCCATTCTAAACGGACCTGCGTGGAGATGACTTATTACTTCACTTGACAGTCACTATGTTTGATTAACCAGCAACTGCATGTCTTAGCCTATACAGCCTTACAAAGTTTCAAAGTTTTTCATAAAAATGTTGCCTTCATCGTCTAATTAGTTCCCTAAATATGCTGCTATCTTGATGACTGGACATCTCCACTAAGTCTTTTGTTGGTGACTTTACTTTTGATATCTATTTTCCTAATTTCTCCACATTTCTACATGACAAAATTGTATAAAACTACCTGGAGCTCAATTTATTATTGTCCAACACAGAGCTACCAAGGATGCAAACAGGACAGGCTGCAGTAATTGTAATAAATGTATGAGTTTGGGGATGGTTAAACCAGCTGCTGAAAACACCTGGGTTGTCAGTCTTTATAACTTGGCAGATTTCTGTTTCTCTCACTTGTACAGTCTTGTGGAGCTGTACCCGTTCTTATGAATTTGACTCAACTGCATTAAGCCACAACCTCTCTCTTTGTTTTTGGATCAGGCTTTGAAGGGTTAAATGCAAATAAATGCAGGCTAAAATCAAATTTCTGTCAGAAATGTATATTCATCCATCTTGTTTTGGTTAGCCTTTTCATCGCTGACACCAGTTCATCAAAATGGAAAAATGTATCACCTGTCTTATGTGCATGCTGGTGTCACAGGTCAAAGGCCGTGCGGATGTCAAATCGTTACTCCCCAGCATCGTGGAGATGATTCCGTTGCGATCCACTTTCCGGATCATCGTTCCATCCACAAAATAGATCAGCCCATTCTTGTCGACCGCGATTCCTATGTTAACAGACATACAGGAACAAACATACAACACATTTCTGGTCAGTAATGAGGATAATGTGAATCACAACATATTTGGCAACCATCTATGTTGCTGTTAAGAGAAAAGTACATGATGTTAGGGAGGTAGTCAAATAGGGGGGTGGAGTTGGGGATCAGGAGCAGCAGACCCTGCTCCTCTGAGCATGCAGAACGGTCAAGCAAATTCTCCCAACAATACTATATTAAAGAGAAAGAGTGTATCCTCTTGAGCTATCATACAGGGACGAATGTATACATGCAATTCCCCGTAATACGCCTTTTCCCGTAAAAGTGTCAATGAGACCATGTGAAATAATGACAAACAGTATGCCTATATCTTTTGCGCATGTACCTTTGGGTCCCAGTAACTGTGCCTCTGTCGCTTTTCTTCCATCACCACATCTTGCCTCATCGAACGGGGGACACTGTTCACCCGTACCAGCGACCACTTCTGCATTACCTGAAAACACCCATTCACACGTTGACAATGACTGAGCAGAAGATAAATCGACCATCTACTCAGTGGTAAATGTGTTCGTGTGTTGTTGGTGGCAGTTTGTTAAAGGGTGTCGCATTCTTACTTGAGAGGTCGCGGGACCCACTGAGCATCTTGGGTCGGTAAATTCTCCGGGAGTTAGTGTCCGAAACATACAGCTGTCCTGTTACAGGGTCAGTGGCTAGATAATAACGGTGAGCTGGGTTGTTACTATGGAGGAAAGGGACACACAAAAAAAATAATTAACCAACAATACGCAATAAATTATCTGTAATCCATAAAATCAATGCTTAGATTTGGCATCAAATGTGAAAAAAAAAGAAAAAAAAGAAAAAAAAGAAATATATATATATATATAGAGAGAGATAAATTATATAGAAATTATATTTTGAATACATATTTTTTATGTATATTTTTTAAAATAAAATAAATAAATATATATATATATATATATAACATTAGCCTAGTAACACAAAATGTGTTCAGATAAAAAAAAGAGTTGTTCAAAGTGAAAAGAAGAAATGGCAAACACAGTAGGATAAGATAAGATAACATGCAATGAAATCACACAAATATGCGTGCACACAAACTCACATACAAAGACCAGCAAACAAGAACACAGAAAAATAAATATATATGTGCTTTTTTTTGTTGCCTTAAGTCTCAGCGGTTGGTGATAATCAGCAGATGATCAAAGTGTTAATTAAAGCAGCTAAAAATAAAGACTCCAAATCATTTTTGATTCTTCTTTCAAAGGCTTCTCTTTTCTCGCTTGCAAGGTTCATGTATTAAAGACACATGCCTTTATTTCAATATTGATCTGAGCAGAGAAATTCACATTTGAAATATAACTTTGAAAACTTACCGGAAATAAAAAACATAACTTGAAAAAATGCATGGCTTAACACAAGGACTAACCTTTTCAAGACATGCCTCAATGCACGTGACTGTTTTAAGCTATAAGCAGAAACACATAGCCCCAGGCTCTACTTGACATGTGGATGGTGCTTAATTATCTAAACATGTCGGCGCATATTAAAAGATGTGAATGGCAAATGAATAGAGGCAAGTACAAGAGGAGAAACACAAAGGACGAGAGAAGGGCATAAAAGGGAAAAATGAACTAGAGAGATAAAGGGAATGACAGCTAAGGCCGAGAAATTCGGAGCAAAGCATAAATGGAGCTATGTTAGAATGAACTTGAAGGATGGAATGAATTGGGGTTGAAATGGAAAATACCCCCCAAAAAAGTAAATAAGGACAAATCAGAACAATAAAAGTCATACTACACTGTCCAAACTTACACAGTGCCTTGGGCTTAAGCTTTTTCTAGCTTCAATAGATTGCTTCAGAGAAACGGCTTTTCATTTCCCCATTAACACAAAGTTTAATTCTAATTTGCATCTTTCATATGACTACCACACGGGCATGTTTGTGCAATGTGGGTTTTCAAAGGTCACCAAACCATCTCCTAATTCAAACAAAAACCCTTCTACCCACTGACAACAGGAACACTATTTATAAAACATATAAATGCACTATGTAATTAAAGTAATTTACACGACAATTATGTTTTTCTACATAATTTATTCCATGTTTCTAGCTGCCGGCGGCTGTTGCAGTCCTGGATCTTGCAGCTGCCTGGACCATCATGTGGCCGGGTGCGGATGAGCTAATTCTTTTTACGTCACCATCAAATACCTTTTTTGAACAGATCATGTTTTGGCTGTCTGGATGAGCTGTGAAAAGGCTAAGCCTTCAATTTCTGGGAGAAAATGGGATTCAGAGCCTGCTGGTACTGTCAGGCACCTCTCCTAAGGGACCAGCTCGCAGTTAGGGTTTGGGAGGTGGACTCTATCTCTACTTATAATCTGACTAAAATGTTTCCTTTTGATAAGACTTACAGAAAAGGCCTGACACTGCAATTTTAGATGCTCAAATCAGCAGTCCTGTCATTTCGGGGAGAGTCACGAGAGACCTGTGATGAATCTTCAATATCTCTCTTTTCTTTCTTTCTTTTCTTTTTTTTCTTGCTGATCTTAAAGGCATGTGTAAAACTGCTTGTTCTCACGACCTTTGTGGAATTTGGTCCATTAATCCTGTTAATTTGCTAAAATAATCTACAACATTTAGATTTTGAATATGAAGGATTTCCATTGCTTTCCGTTGTGTTTAAGATTATGAAGTATGTAACCACTTTGGAAAATATGCTTAAGAGGAAAAAACAGGATTCAACATCTTCAATTGAATTCAATTCAATTCAGTTGATTTATTTATAAAGTGCCTTTAATAAAAAAATATCAGTACCTTAAATAAAAAGACTTAAAAGCATAATATAAACACAAGCCTTCACCCACTTGAGTAACTGCATATCCTGTCATAACCTTATGCTTAAGTGCATGTGTGAGGTTATTATTGGTGCTATACTGTGTGTGTGTGTACATGTGCACACACACACCATACAGCACCCCATCCCACAGCCATCATATCCAAACTCAAGTATTTTTCACTTAAAACCGGCCTGACGTGACATTGAGGAAACAATTGAAACTGGTATAATGTGTTCCTGCCCTCTAGTCCCTGTCAGAACATGTGCCGCTGAGTTTCGGAGTAACTGTAGAGTAATAGTATTTCATTTGGAAAAAAAAAGCAGGGCATTACAAAATCTACATTACTAGAGACAAAAGCATGCATAAGCACCTCTGTGCTGGCAGGAAAGAGAAATGGGCGGACTCTGGCAATATTTCTAAGATGATAAAATCCTGTCTTTGTTACATTTCTGACATGTGGAATCAAATCCAGCTCAGAGTCAAAAATGACACCCAGATTTATCACAAAGTGGCAAGGATTAAAGGTTTGTAGTTTGGGTAAAATTATCTATTTCTTTTCTTCAGGGATGTTAATTAAACCTTCAGTCTTGTCCTGGTTAATCTTTAAGAAGTTTTCCCCCATCCATGACCTAATGTCTAAAACCCAGTTTAAAAGGACATCAAATGGCTGAAGATCATCAGGAGACATGGCGAAGTAAAGCAGTATAACCCTAACCCTAACCCTAAGCAGCATAGCTATGAAAACCAACACCATGTCTCCGGATGAAATCCCCTATTGGCAAAATGTTTAGATTAAAGAGTAATGGGCCTAAAATGGAACCTTAGGGAACCCCAAACTCAGGCTTTCCTGAGGAGCTTGGATCCATATTAACAAAGAACTGTCTGGTGATCTGCTATATCAAAGGCAGCACCGGGACTAAGAGTTCCTGAGAGTCCAGGTTACACCTGAGGTCATTAAAAATAATTATAAGGGCCTTCTCTGTACTGTGGTTCTTCCTAAAACAAGATTGATGTTTTTCCAAAATGTCTTCAAAGCTCTTGTAATTGGTTAAAAAATACTTTTTTTTCTCATTTTACTTAAAAACGATAAACATTTTACAATTTCGAACAGCTGATACTCGAAGAATCGATAAAAAGTCTTTAAAAGTCATTTGGGAATCGGATCTAAAAGGCAGGTTGTCGGGTTTAGCTGGGAGAAAACTCGACCAAGCGTTTTTGCATATACCGGGACAAAACTCTCCAGTGTTTCTTCTGGTAAAAACAATACGTCAGGTCTGATGCAGTACCAACCCCTTTTCAGTGGACTCGCTGGCCCTCAGAGCGGCGAACCGCGGGCGGAAAACTCGTCCGGTTCCAGTACCAGAAGGAGCGCGCGCTCGTCCATTAACAGCATCTGTCAGAAGCTGCCGACGCTTTGCCGAGGAATACTTTGTTGAAGAATACTTTGTTGAGGAAGACTTTTCTGAGGAACACTTTGTTGAGGAAGACTTCTTCGGCACCGTGTCCCGAGGAGCGGCTCGCTACTGGACCACCAAGTTCAGCAAACTATCAAGCTCATTCCTGGGCTTCAGTTCGACCAACAGCCTACGGAAGTCTTCTTTGAGGTAGGTGATTTCCTTCTCGATGTTGGTAAACTCCAAGTTGTCCTCGTTTATTTAAGTCCTTATCTATGTTAGAATAGCGAATGAAACCATGCTGTTGGTTTTTTTTGGTCCCAAAATGTATTTTTGAGCTTTTTAATAGATATTCCTATGCTTCTGTGGACACCACACATCCATGTATTCCTTCTGTGTCACATCCCATGAAAATGGGAAGTTCCATTTTCATGGGATGAATAAGGTTAAGTCCCTCTTCTCTCCTCTGCCCTTCAACTGGCCTCGGGCCCTTTAGTAGCCTTGCATTTGTCCCCTTAACTTCCATCTCATGAAACATTCCCTGCAAAATTCTTCACCCCTCTACTCATCCCTGCCTTCATCTCATCCTCTTCATTATCAAATGATCCTCAGAGCCGTTCATTCCTGTCATGTTTCTTTACATTGAGTTATTTTACTGTTGTTGGACTGTTTTCATACGCACTCCACTCTAGAATATTTCAAGCAAATGGCTGAGTCTGTAAAAGTATTGATTTGTGATTTATTGTCGGGAGGGTCTGTTATTTCCTTTTTTTAAGGCAAACAGCCTGTGAGCCTTAAAACTAGGTGCTTCTGATTGATTTGGAAGTACAATGACATTTGCTTTCCCGAGCCGGAAACTGCCCCGGAGCACCTCTGGGCCGGGAAAACTGCATTTCATGTCTCTGTCTTCCGGCCATTCTGCTTTGCGTTCCTTGGCATTTTGTAGGGCGTTTTCTCTGCATCGTTGCAGCCTCTCCAAGATAAAAACAAATGTATGTGCATTGGATGGACATGTGGAGGACTAAAATGGAGATTAGTTTTCAGCGTTCCACCCAACAACTCTGAGAAGAGCCAAAGAAAAATCCCAAAAGATATTCATATCGGTTCTTTAATTTCATGATGCACCGACACTCTACATGAGTAACATTTTTCAATTTGGTTGTTAATAAACGCTTGAATTCCTTCAGGCTTAGTAGAAAGATGGCGTATAACTGATTTTCAACCATGTCCTTTGCAGATTTATTTTTTCTCTTTAATTCCTTGTGGTCTTTTCCTTTCCATTACTAATTCTTCCTTTCAACCTTCTGCAGGTGCCTTTCCTCTAGCCTGTCCAAACATTAATACAGGTTTGGTCTCATCTCTTCTTGCCCTCTTTCTTCTCTCCTGGCCTTCAATGGCCTCGACCTTACAGGCTTGCCTATCTTTCCTCCCGCCTGGAACTGAACTGCCCATGACTTATCACAGGTACAGCCTTTCACTTCTGGCACTCTGCAGGCCCCTTTCCTCTCTCCTGGCCTTCAGTGGCCCAAGTCTCATTGCAAACTCATTCTGTTCACCTCTGGCCCGTCGCGGACTCCTTTCCTCCCTCGCAACCTTATTAAAGCTCAAATCCCATTGAAGGTTTATTCCTGTCTCCTCAGGCTTTCTGCAGGCATGGTGGTCCTCAGTGACCTTCGAGTTTTCTATCTGGTTATCCTTTTAACAGCTATTTCAATTCCTCTTCCTCAACTTGTCCCGCTTTATCCTTTAGCAATGTGTGTTAGTGTTGCAGCTACCGTGCTTATGTATTGTATGAGTGCTTTAATGATGAAGTTGCATTTTTTTGGGGGGACGGCCCCATGCCGCCCTGACACTTTTATTTATGGCACCTCTTCATGAAAAACATGCGTCGGGTTAAAATTGATAGAGAAAATTGTCACCTCGTTATCATTTTTGTCCACAATACCTTATTCCCACTATCATCATCATAAATAAGTTTTGAGTAAGTCGGTTCCTTAAATGTAATTGTTTTTCTTTTAACCCTTTTTCTTTTATTGCAACTCTTCCTGATTCCAGTTGAATCTCACAAGATGTAATTTACACCTTTTTTCACTGTTCAAAGACCATTTCAGTGGGAGGGGTCCGTTCCCCTCTTTATTTTCATTGTGCCATTGCTTCACTTAAATAGTATATTGGAGCCCAAATGCCAAATAACAGCGTTTCATATCAGTAAACCATCTCAAAACCTTTGAACTGATATTCCTTTTTTGAATCATAGTTACTCCAAAGCTGTTAAACACCGACTTGACAATTGGAATCCTTGACACGAGGCGCTTTAATGAATTTCCATTTTTCTTGTTACTTTAGTGCGGTTCAATTAAAGCACAAAAAATAAGATTACGGTGAACAGTCTTATTTAAATTCTAAGTAATAATTCAACTAAGTTCTTCCAAAAGTAGCAGAATTTTTCGCAATATGCACATGTGGAATAAAGAAACTGATGATCAACCGGTCACTTTGAATCAGTCAAATAGTTTGTGTCCTACGACCTAAAAACAAAGCTTCCATTTCTTTGTTTCCTAAGCTTTACAGCTGGAGCTCAGGGGGAATAGCAGTCGTCTACAGATCAGAAGCTGTGTGGTTTGACTCCCAGCTTCCCTGGGTCATCTGTGGAAGTGCCATTGGGGAATGCAATGAACCCCACGCAGTCTGCTGATGGGTGTATGCATGTATGCATGTGATGGGCTAAAAAAGCACTATGTGGCCTTTAGAAAAAAAAACTGTATTAATGGTACATGTCAACATGCTGTGGCTAAAAACTAATGTCCTGTGCACATCAAAGACCATTCAGGCTGTTATCAACAAAAATATCTGAGGTGGTCATTTAGTGCAATTAATGTTTTAGGGAGACTTGTTCTAATGAAACGATACATTTTATTTGAAGCATCTTTGTTGTTTCAGCAGGAAAAATATCTGTATAGCTTTCAACCATGCAGCTTCATAGAATGTATGTTCATGTGATTTGATAAATTACTGAAAAATACATGGAAAGGTGACAACGGAAACAAATGTTGAGAAAAAAAAAACATAGTCCCCATAAAAATCCCAATGAAAAGGAAATATTTCACATCACAAAACAAAGCTTTTTCGGTGTTAAACGTTTTAGAAAATCATGTCTTTTATTCTGTATTTTGAAGCACAACAGTTGTTCCGGTAAGACAACGTTTCCTCCATTTTTCAATTTTTTTTTATTTTCGTTGTTGCTGGGCATGTTAAAGCTTCAAAGTGAGTTTAACTCGTATTTGCATTTCGAGGGTGCTTTACTAAATTTTGAAACTTTGCTGGAAATTAGGTATGTACATTGAGTAGTTTATACAATGTATGATATGTTGTTAAATTTATTGTAAAAATGTTCATCCATCGCTATAATTACACTTCAAAGAGGCTAAATGCACAGGGGAGGAGCAAGATTAAGGGAAAGAGGTGGAGCATGCCCAACACAACCTCAAGCCCTGTGCTTTCAGCTTTTGTCTTTGTCAGGTCTCCTTGTCAGAATTTGTTGCTAATGTTTTTAATTGCTCTTCACCAGAACTCGCAGTTAATGAAATTGATAGAATTTGTGTGGTAAGATGGGGGGTAGAGATTGCACTCAAAGATAAAATAAAAAAATGGCTTGGATGAGATGGCTTGGATGCTGCAATGTGCTAAATCCATGATTTTTTTACTTTGTCTAAAATGTTGTCACTGAGGAGAAAAAGGAATAAATGTGTGGTTAAAAAAGGTTGGAGGAAAAAATATCAGCCTTACCTATGCCTGAAATCTTTGTTTCTTTAATACAGTGGCAAGAAAGGAGAGGCAAGAAAACACACAAACATGTTAGTAGCTTACTTGATTGTTATGATACAAATTTAAGGGAGGAAAAAACAAAGCAAAACAAGAAATTGTTAGATGTGAGTCATGCTTCACAGAAAAAGATAGATTTAAGAAAGTTCAGACAGCTGACATGCTTTTAAAATATTTTCCTCTAAAGCTTTCTTTTAATTATTTCAAATACTTTGCCTGCAATGACAATGTTTAAATCACTGGTGGGAAAGGGTTCAGCGTCATTGAAGGATGATATCAAGCCCATATTAAAGATGTTAGCTTCATTTGAATGAAAAAGCTTTTTTCATTTCAACTTGGATGTTTTTTGTCTTTTAAAAATATCCAAATTCAGTATTTTACAATGAATAGTTACAGACTATTAGAATCAACGAGGGGATGTCTCGTTTTATAAATGGGCCATGTGCTTTACCATGGACATCCATATTAGCGACACTATGACTGTTGTTCCAGATTAGGATCAAAACAGTACTACATTATCAGCCGTAGCCATCATTCCGCTGCCCTCCACGCCCTTTTACCTCAGTTCCATGACGCTGGTGACATTCCCAGATGGGAAGATTCTCCTGATGTAGTTAAAGTCTCCGACATAAATGCTGCCGTCTGCTCCACAGGCCAGAGCTAGGGGTGCGAGCAGTTTGTTCCCCTCTGCTTGTCCGTTACAGCTGGGGCAGGAGATGCTGCGGCGACGACCGTTACCTAGAAGGAAACCCAATGTATTTGAAAATTTATATCAGGTGAGCCTTTCGGTACACCATGGATAAGTCGCCAGTCCACCAGTTAACAGTGACTAACCGGACAAATAACCATACAAACCCACACACACACACACACACACACACACACCTAAGCTCCATTTAAAGGCAGCAGTTACCCTAACCTAAATAAACAATGCTTGTTAGTCCAGTTAAATTGTGTCATTCCAAAGAGATACCCAGGGTCTGGAACCCTCTTGTCAGCAGGTGCTAACCACAACGCTGCCATGTAACCCACATTTGGTTGGCTTTTGTGGGATACAAGCAGACATTATGACACACTGAGGTAATGTGTAGTGATGAAAAATAAACTTCTTAAAATGCAAAGTTTTCATGTTAATCTCATCAGAGCTTTAGCTAGTTGATTTCTAAATTACTTTCTAAGATTAATCGGTAATACGTGGATCTATACTTACCCATGATGCTGCTGATGACAGGCGGCTGCAGCGAGATGAAAATATTCTCCCCATTGCCCTTGTACAGTATACCTTGGAGAGATGATACATAAACATAAAAGATAATGAGCACGATACACAGAACTGAGTCAAAATAACCCAACTCCGACGAGAGCTCTTCTTCACAAATAACTGGCAATGTAAATCTTAGAGAAAATCAAATGTGTGAAACTCCATCCAGATAAATTAGACTCTATGAAACTAATGTTTGAGCTTATCACTTGGCTAACAATGGAATTAAAGCCAACAATGCAAACTATTACGCTGATAAAATGACTGAGCTAGTTCTTATGTGCTTGCTATTAGACTGAAAACTGGGATCTATCTGAATCTTGAGGGTATTTGATTTGCTCAGAGGACGGTATGCATTAAGTCAAGCTGTTCGGCGATGCCAAGATTCACCAGAGCCACAAACTACTCAACTTCAAAACAGATGAACTGTTTATGAACCAGTTTGTTTCCAACCAAACGAAATAAAGGCTAAAATCAACCTGCCACGAAAGCAAGTTTCACTAGTTACTGGATTAGGAACAAACTGAGTTAATGTACTCAATGACACAATGTAGTTCTTTTCACTATTCTGCATGTTGCTGTGCATTTCTGTAAAATTCAGCAGCAACAAAATGCATATTTATAAGACTGATCATGGCTAATCCCTTAGTGCATTAATATAGCTTCAAGCAGAGAAGAATGAATGATAATACACTAGACAGCATACTATTTGTCTAAATAAATATGTGTAGCATTTCTATCATCACTACATGTTGCTTACTAGCTCCTTTTGTAATTCCTCATGACACTAATTATCATGTGTGTGTTGGAATCTTTAAGAGAGGAGTAGAACTAAGAAAAAAGTGCTGAACTTGTTCTTCCAAATGAAAGTTCAAAGAGGGTCCTCCTGTGGTGAGTTACATTAATAAAACTCTGTCATCTTCCAAATAAAGCCCTGCATCTTATGGAGATAAAGGAGTCTTTCTAACCATCTATCTCTCCATCAGAGAATAAATCCATCCATCCACCTCTCATCCCTCGACAGATCGCTGATCCATGTTTTGATGCCATGCTTTTTACTAAGGTGCACAGGAAACTCGGCATCTTTACCCAACAATATTCATGCATTAGTAAGTTTATTTAAACTAAATCCAACTTTCAGCAGGCCGAAACCGCACAAAGTGTAGACGTATGTTTTTAATTTAGTTGTGGCCAATGTGTCTTCATTATGCTCTTCATGTTACGAATGCAATTGACCCAAAAAGGGTTACATGTTTTATTTAATATTTAATTATGCCCACTTTTTAGAACAGAGATAAAATGTTTATATTCAAAGTTTCAAACTGAACGAATTTGAACAGAAAGAGAAAAATATTTCCTCTAGAATTATGATTTTAAACGCTAAATGACTTCTAACTACCTATTATGACAATGATTATGATGAAGTATTTGCTGATGTTTTCAGGGTACTCCAGTCCCCTTGCGAATTTACCAGGAATAAACCCTAAAGATAATAGAGCGATGGAAATATTTGCAATTTTGCATTAATGCCAGTAAAACTTTTCAACCAAAAGGCACAAAAATAAACTTGTAATTATCTCTGTATAGAGGCTTTACATTTGAGACCATAAGGTAAAAACGCATCATATCTGTGGACTTTCAGATGTTAGGATGGAGTTCAGATTTTAAAAGCCACTTCAGGACATGGAGAGGGCACTGTGATCAATACCTTTCTTTTTAAGACTCAGCACGATCTAATACTATTGGCTTTCAATTCCATACGTCGGTTCGCTTCTCATTGCTCTTCTTCACATTACCTCTATTTTTTTCCCCCTCCTTCTTGCCCTCTTTCATCTCTTGCCCCATTAGCTGTTGTTGATTGATCAACAGAGGCCAAAGCAGCAGGGTTCCACACATGCTGTGCTGCAGCCTGTATAGAGCAACCAACTAGTTTTGTGCCTATAAAAGTGTGCGCCCAAGAGTATGTTTGTTTAATCTTTGAAAAATTAGAAGCTCTCTACATTTCTGGCTTCCAATGTTTTGAAAGGCATACTCCAAACTGATCAAATAATATTTTCAAAGGTCAAACCTTGGCTTTCCGGTCAGGATTGTCGCTTGGCATTCAGCCATGATAGTTGGATGGTTGGACTAGGGAATGCAATGATGAATCATCAAAAAGATACAAAAACAAGCCTGTGTGTGTGTGTTGTGATGGGGGATGATGGAAAAAGAAAGTCAAAGACAGCCAGAGGTGGAACTCTCTCCTGCTGTGTTAAAAGAGAATCCGGCAAGGCTTTCTCACACCTTTTTTTTTCTTTTTTTTTTCTAAGTGTGTGTGAGTGAATTAATCTGACCTTGATTTTAAAACTCTTTCTTGGTCGCATCTATTCAAGCCACGCCAATGCAGCGGTGATTTCAAAGCTCAGACATAAAATAACAGAGAAATACAGACGCATAGGACTAAAATGATCTCATGTCACCCTGATACAGAAATAAGAGTCAAATCCCATTCCAGGACCACCTAGAAAAAACGATCTCACCCTAAAAATCCATCTTCAAACTGATTTCAGTTCTCTATCCCATGATCAGTGTGCAAAAACCTGACAATGATGGATTCGCTTTGCTGTTGCAAATTAAGGCAGTTCATTCGGGACACTAAATCTTTTGCCAATCGCTGTGAGGGCAACGGTCACGGATGACCTGCCGCACAATGTATTGGTTAAAAGATTTTCGGCTCAGGTTGGTGAAAGCACAAATTCAGACTAGAAAAATGAGGAAAATGATGCACTGAAACCGAACAGATCCGGCTTCAGGGGCCCGCTGCTGGAGCTTAAGAGGAAGAGCAGTCATTTGCCAGTCGGACAACTCGACCACATGTCGAAGTGTCCTTGAGCAAGACACTGATCCCCGTGGTGCTTCTTACACATACATCGGTGTGTGAATGTCAGCGGTGGAGAGCGGTGTAACCTGTAACACTATGTTGAGTGTGTGAATCTGTAAATTCATAAAGAAAAGCAATAACAGCTTTTTTGCCTTAGGCTCGAACATAATACACACACAATATGAATGGCATAACTAAACCAACAGATGCATGGAGACGCAGTCCTGAATGCAAATGCCTGTATGAACAGATGCTTTAGTTATGGCTGTCATGAATGCATGCCTTTTAAAATACTGCCATGAATACAGTGAAAGCAACACAAAGAAAAAAACAAGTTTGAATATTCTGAGAAATCTTAAGTCAAAAAGAACTGACAGTTTGTTTGATAATGGCAAAATGTTTAGTTTTTTCATCAAAAGAAGAACATTTAAACTGATTGAAAAAAATATATATATTTTTAAACATACCAGGAAAATAAAAAAAAGACACTCCCACCATTGGTAATGTTAATATTTATTCAAATGTTCCACTCCAGACAACACCTTCTTAATTTTTTAATACAGTATTTTGATATTGCATTTAAGCAATTCATATTTTTTAAATATGTTTTTTTAATTAGGTTTTTCCTCAAAGATATTTATTGGTACTCCTCATAATTTTAAAGATTTGTTCTGAATAATTTCAATACCAGTGGGGGAATTGTGGACAACTAGCAGCTGACTGAGCTTCCAAAAACCCAGCGCAAGTGCAAAACTCAACGTAGAAAAAGTACCACAAACTTTGTAAAACAGGGGGCATGATGCAGAGAGATGTTGAACCCCTTTACATTCTTGACACTCTCCTAAAAAGTGCCCCCATTCATGTTAAAGTGAATGGAAAATATGTGCATGTGATTAGATGAAAGTAATACCGAAATATCTTACCAGTACCCTGGCCAATGTAACAGAATTATTTTTGTTGGAGTTGCTGCATAATTTGTCTTGGGGCTTACGACTACTTTGCCTAGTATTTACCTCAGTTCAGCGGTTCAGTTGTATCCTGAAATGGTTTCATTAACTTACCAACATAGTTTGTGTGGTTACATAGAAAGGGGGCAGTCAGGGGATTACAGAAAATGTTAACTGGTAATTGAAGTCAGCGAGTTTGGACAATTGAGTAAAAAGTTTCTATTGAAGAAACGCTAGGATGTTTCACCCACATATGGCTATAGAAACAGATTGGACAAGACACCGATGCATCTGTTTTTTTTTTTTTTTTTAGTGTACAATCAGACGGATTAGAATAGGAGGCTTTGAAATCTGCCTCTGTCACAAAGCTTTAATATAAACCTCGGTTTATAAGTTCTTTTCTGCCCATTTTTATTCATTTTGAGTGGTTTGATGGATTTTTGTTAATATTTTTGGAAGAATATATGTAGCTTTTTTTTCTTTTCTTCTTTTGTAGACCTTTGTCTTTCACCCTATTACTTGGGCCCTGATGGGTTGAAGAAAATACCTGAGGTGGAATTTTGTGGGTGTCTATGACAAAGAGACAGAATGATGTGCACCTCTGGAAGAAAGTCTATACATAGTCTGCAGTCTGCTTTTGCAGCGGAATCAGAGCCAGTAACACCAACAAACTTAACAAACTGATGATCCAGACTGGTTTTGTGCTGGATGTGCTCTACAACCCCAGGGGCTCCAGGGTTTAGTTCCAGCAAGGATGCTGCACAAGCTTGATAGACACAATGGACAATACTGCCCAACCTCTTCAACACATGGAGTAAAACAAAAGAATGTTTTCAGTCAGAGGATTGATTTTTTCCTAGACTGCCACACCATAGAACAGTGGCTCATTCCTGATTCCTGAAAAAAAAACATATTTAAAAACATTATTTCCATTTCAGATCAATCAGTGAATAAGTGGTCTTTATTTCAGGCTCAGTTAATTTATTCTAATTAAATTAGTGGCACTAACATGTTTAAAAGAATTTTAAAAATAAGAGATTTTAAAGCTGACAAAACTGAACTTGTCAGCATGATGTAGTAAAATAATACAAAATGAATCCTAAATTATGCAGCTTGCATGTATTTGCTGCACCAGACTCGAAATTTTTGACTGAACACCTGCTCTTATCGTTCCAAGCATCTTTAGAACGCTTGGCTCACCGGGCAATGCCACAACTTGAGTTGTGAAATTTGGTTATACCATATATGTGACAGTCTTGAATTGATTCCACTTCTGGAAATATATACTGTCACAAGGATAATGGTGTTCCAGTACATCTATGGCTACTTCCACCCCGGGGGGCAAAACAAGTGGAAGTAATGGAGAAATGACAACACCTGGCTCAGGTGAATCTGCACCGTCTCTCATTTATGCTGCTGTGGGCCGAGAATGCTGAAAGACTCCCCTTCATATTTTTTACCATCTCTGCTAGGTCTGCTCTCTTTTTAGAGAGATTATTTTAGTTTTATGCATCTGTCTTTTCAAACCGGAAGCCCTCATCTCGTGCTCTAGTGCTTGTTGACCCTTCTTTTCTGCTCCCCTTGTTTCCTCCAAGACGGATGATTACTCTTTCTTAATGTTGTTCTGTTTAAAAAGGAGTTTTTCGACCCCGGAGTCACTCCACTGTATCATTCTCATCATTGTGTACTGCATCATTTTCAGTTCCTTTGCGTGTTACAGCTCAGTTCTGTTGGCCAACTGGAGAGCTTTCCTTTGGTCTAGTAACAGACTATGACAGAAGGAATACCATCATCAAGAAAGTTTTTTTGTGTCTAATTTTTTCAAGGGAGATCATTACGCTTATCAGTATAGTCAAAATTCTGTACAGTGAGCTGCTGTCTATAATTCCAAGAGTAATTTTGACAAATGAAGCTTGGATTTTGAAAGCATGATTTCTTTAGAACAGATGAACATCTAAACCTGTTTTCGGCGACAGCAGTGATTTCTCTAAGTCATATGTTCCTACATTTATGCTTCCGAAATGCAGCATTTGCAATGATTTAGGTGGCTTTGAGTCTTAGAATTTGATTAACAGCCAATATGTCCCACTATGACACACAATCTGACCAATTAAACAACAATAACTAATAAGTGCTTATGAGGATTTTTGTTGCGAGGAATTCATGTTATACACACACTTTTACTGTTTAAAAAGAAAAAGGTAAAACATAAAAAAACATTTTTTGAAAAAGGTTTTTGTCCTATAGGTTTTTTTTTCTTGCTACAAGCTTTTACTTCTTAGGATGGGAACTGTAGCATTCAAAAGTTAATCTCGTTTTGAAAAGTTTACTTTCAAACAATTTGAATCTTATTAGCCTGCACCTTTTTTAAGTTTAATGTAAATGTATGGATTGATTTTTGAAAAATAAATAATTTTTTTGGATGGCATGGAAGAAATGGTCTCTCCCAGGGCTCATTGCTGGAGAGACAACTTAGCAAGTTTGTAACTTTGCATCCTTTGTTTCCTCGGGAAGCTGTGGACACAGGCACCGGCTTTGTTTCCCCAGAAGCAGCGTGAGTCATTGCCGATGGACACAGTGTGTGGTTTCCTGGGTAAACAGCAGCCAAACCTGGAACACTTAGCCAGGCTCGCGGCCAATGCTGCTGGCGAGGCTGCTCGTTCTTTTTTTTCCCCGTGGCAGGCATTGCAAATAACAAGCCAAACGGAGGAAAAAGACATAGGGAAATAAACTTATAAAAAGCCTCCCTCATCCATGTAATTTCTATGGGATAAATGTTTGGGAAAAACATCACTTTATAATTGGTTTACATCCAAAATCCAGCTGCTTATTGGTCCAATTTCGTGTTTTTGATGCGACCCCCCACTGACTAAAAATAAGGGGATTTTTTGTTGCAGTTTAAAATAACCAGATAATGTATATGTAGTATGATTTGTGCTATTACAGCCAAAAAACAGAACGTTATTAATCTGTCATTATAGGCAGCAAAAGATACTAAATAGCTTGCCACCCAAGCGTTTGCTAACTTCTGTTGTTTTTCAGTTTCTCTGTTTGCGAGTCTCCCAAAGCACATTCAATACCACACGACTTTCTGTGGACCACCTAGAAGTGACAGAATGTAATGCTTTACTAAACAGTTTAGACACTTATAACCCCACAGTCTCTATGCAGATAGTTTCCAAAGCTCTTTAAAGTCCCCCTCAGTATATATGTATGTGTGTGTCTGTGTGTGTGTATATATGCACACACACAGAGGAGAATATTCTCACAACACTTGCCCAAGTATGCACAGCAACTCTGCCAACTGTCCGCCCCTGAAACTTTTTTGATTTTTCTTAGCTGTTCAGCAGTACTTGCTATTCATTGCTCAAACATCTCATTCAGTAGTTTTTGAAAATTCTAAAACATGAAGAAATCATTTTGTATTCCTTCACAAATTCAACTACAAAAATCTGAATGAAGCATTTTCAGCTGAGAAATCCTGGTTATATTCACTGAACTTTTGAGCCTTCTGTTGACTGCTTTATAATGTAGGGACTGCTCATAAGAACTTCACACAGCGGACCGTAAAACAAGCAACTATCATGGTAAAAGTATTGGATTTTTTTTTTCTTTTTTTAAAGAGGAAGACTCTTACTAATGTACAATTGAGACTAATGTGGGGAAATTTAAATTCAAATTAACTTACAAATCACGTGACCAATTTTTAAATGAATACCTTATTAAAAGCCTGGATCTCACTATATACCAGCTTTTACATGCTGCCGTTAGGCCAGAGTTATGATGAATATTTTCTGCCGTGCGTTTCCTGTTAAGTTTGATGCGGGGAGAAAGGGTAAAATAGGCTATTCTAAGGAAATGGCTCATGGCATGCTATTGATGGGGAAAAAATGCATCACATTACCAATAACAAATTCTATTGCGACACACAGCATTTGGTTGATAAGGAAGAAGGGAAACGTGTGGTGTGGTGGCATTGAAAGTGAGATATTGATGGCAAGTTTTGGAGTTTGAGAAAAATTACAAAACGGTGTAAAATTTATGTTGGTCATCGTGTTTGGAGTCAACAGTTACTGAGTATCATAGTGTGTAGAGTTGTGTAGTCATCTGGAGTGGCAACAATACTTTGTGGCATCCTGTCGTAATATTGTTTAATAGTTGTAAAGTCATGCTTATAAGGTTGGGCTTGGGAAAAAACTAAACTAAAAGGGGAAGATCATATTCAAGGTTAAAGGAAACTCAAAAGTACGGTTGTCAAAAATGGGCCAATTTTATCCCAACACCCAGAGGGTGAAACACAAAACCAGAGATGGTTTTTTTGTTCACAAACTGTGCTTTTGTCTCAAAGGCAAAAATGCCCCCCCACTCAAACATACAGCTGTGAACATATGGACAGATTACCGACATTGCACACCGTCACAAAATACACACATTTGAAATGCCCCCTTACACACAGAAACTGAACTGCGAGAGAGAGAGAGGGGAACTGCAGGTTTGTGTGTGACAGATATAGGACAGCAAGAGACAGATGAAAGATGAAATGCGAGAGTTGAAAGGTAAAGTTGTAGATTTTGAAAATGTGCAATGATTGCTACCAGTTTGCCTACATAACAGGCCCATTCATTCATCAGCACATTTTCACCGGTCGGTTAATAGAGTACACTGGTGTGCAGTTTGCGAAAACACCACCTTTCATGGGCATATTCAAGTTATGGATACGATAGATGTCAACTTCCATCCGAATGCAAACCTCTGCCTATGAAAAATTTTGTTTTATAAATCTTAATTCTCGTCTGTCGTTCCATCATAGCCTGCACGACAACAAAGGCACCAACAACTGTTCTCAACAAACTGTCAAATTATTTTAAGCGTTGCCCTCTCATGAATGAATGATGTGGAAAATCAAAAGAAATGGCAAAAGACGAACACACAGGTAAACAGTAATTGACTCTAGTCACATTGAACCCTAAAACTCAAAATTGATCAGTTTAAAAGGTTAATTGTAACTTCTCATAAATGCGTATCGTGCAAGTATGTAAACATGTAACGGTAGCAGTTGCTTGTCATGTTTTGGCACTCACCATTCTGCACGTCTAGGATGTGATGTTTATCGAGCGCCCATCCTCCCATATTGGAGGCATCCATCTCGTAGCCTTGCAGGACAGCTGTTCTCTTTTCCCACAGGATGAGGTCAAGGCAGGACTCGTACTCAAATCCCACTGACACTGTGGAGTGACAGATGCATACTGCAGTTCTGCTCGAGTGGCTAATCGCAGTGAATAGAAGAGCAAAGAATAATCCTCACGGCCTTTTTCTGTTTGCCGATTAAAGTACTGAGACACCAAAACGTGGATTTCTAGTCAGTGGTGAACAGGACAGGAAATGCCACATTTACTCCAAAAAACATGGTTTATGTGTAAGGAACAGTAAACAATGGTGGTGACTAATTTTCTACAAGATTCAAGGTTTTATTATAACAAAATAAGTAGTGGATTAACTGGAAGGATGGCACAGCAAAAGCAGATGTGTCTTCAAAAGTACTATTGCTACAAATACTATCATATGAATATGGATTGATGGACTTGATACAATCTGTACTTTAAAAAAAAGTTTCCAATAGCCTGAAGACATGCCTTTTGTGCAAGGGTCATCCCAAAAATAAACAAAGTCCTGCAATCTTTTGACCTCTTAGGTGACACAAACGCACACAAACAAAACCTCAGAGAAAGCCTTAAAGGTTATGCAAATTAACCTAAAAGTAGCCTTTTAAATGCTCAGAATAGACATTTCTGATTTTATTTAATTTTTTAAATTGGCTTGTTTTTATATTTCCTGTTTGACGTTAACTTACCAACTGCCTCTGATAGCCCATAAACCCGTTGGCCATAGGCATCCGTCTTATCCCAGATGAAGGTGTACGACAAATTTGGCTGTGCAGGGAACCATTTCTGGAAGAGGCGGCCAACGACTGCTACCATCAAGTGAACCTGGATCACAGGAGCAGAAATGAAAGTGGCAGAGTTAAATCTAGAGCCCCACTGACATAGTTTGTGACTAAACAAATTACGACAAATAATGTTCTGAGTTTTAGTCTTACATCATGATGGCTTTGAGTTACATAAAATAATGGGCATCTCACCTTCATCAGATTAAAAGGTACTGAAGACTGGGTCATGGAGACTTTAAGGACCGGTTTATATCCTGCAGCCCTAGAGCTCAAGTAGACCAGGTTCAGATCACTGCCAGGTATTGAGGTTTCTTCTTGTAAAACCTGCAGAAAAAAGCGACTTAATGTAACAGCTAACATTATATCACTGCTTTGATGGGGAGCCGAAGCATTTTACTAATATTATTAATATCAGTTATTGTCATACATATTATATGCACACACGTGTGTGTGTGTGTGTGTGTGTGTGTATATATATATGTATATACACACACTTATGTATGACAATAAGTATTAATTTTAGTAATATGTAGTAATATACACACATGTATGCATGCGCGTATATGCATGTATGCTATTGAAAGGGAAGAAACCATCTTGAAAGAATAAGTTTTAATGTAATATCAGACCAAAAGATTGGATAATTGGATGACACTGTGAAGACAGAAATGGCTGGAAAAGGCTTGTGTGAAAGACGGAGGCAATAATCATGACTGTTCAATAAGATGCCCCGAGCACAACGGTGAGAGACTTATAGGTCTGTCACATCTGATTGGACCCCAGGAACAGGCTGTTCGAAAAGGCTTTTTCACAGAGCCAAGTAGATGACGGAAGGATCTAAAATGCCTACAGTTGCAGAAAACGCAGGATGGAAATAGTATGTATGGAAATGTTGCGTTGGTTGATGGTGTTGGTGTACATCATTGGTTAAAAATGTCCCTAATGAAAATTCCTATTGTCATAATTGTAATTATTTCATTACTGTAGGACCATTGTCACCAGAACTCAACATCAGCACTATTCTGATGTATGTTTGGAGAGCGTAAATAGCCATGAGGTCATAATCTGCCTCTGATTCGTAAAAATGAAATCCTGAGGAGAGACAGCAACATGCAAACAAAACTCCTTTTTTGCACTGAGTTATGATATTCTTATATTTAAGGTAAAGTATGTAGAATAAAGAAAAGCTTAAGTTCAGCTGAAGTGGAAAAGAGAAAAGGAGCAGTGCCTAGTAGTATTCCTTTTTAATAGCTTGTTGAAAGATTGTTGTAGCAATCTATTAACTTACTCAAATATCTAAAGCTAAAAAAGGGTTAGATATTGTGTGCTAAGTGCTGCTCCTTAGATTTCTTTTGTTTTTTCTATTGAATATATGAATTCTATATGAATTGATCTGCCTTATTGTTTGAGCTCCACTGGACATTTTGAAATTCAGGCATTATTACAACCATTTAAATAAGCATTTTAAAAGTTTTGAAGATTCATACTTAAAGAAAATGAACACAGAAAAGGTAACAAATTGATAAAGATTGACTCAACTTTTTCAGTGTTTTCCATTTAAGTGCCACAATAGTCTTTTCATTAGCTGGACATTTAGTGTTCATTGCAGGTCAGTTACATCTCCTTTAAGACTGCCCTTTTCACTGCCTTTCTCTCTAATGGAATCAACTCACAATGAAGCTCTTTCATTTCACTTGCCTTGCATCAGCACGCATTTGCACATGCACACAAGCTTGCGTCGACCACTTTCCCTTAATGCGCTTGCTTTATTGGTGCCATACGAGTACATGTACACAGATGCTTGTGAAACACAAATAATTGTAGAGCAATGGTTAATGGTTTTGAATAAATAAAAGCACACACAAAACGGTCTCATCTGTTTTACTTCCTCAGGGGAATGCATAATATTGTGGCAGCAGTGTGGCAAAGTGGCACTGTCTGCAGCTTCCACCTGCTGCTACCCATCCAAACCCTGTAATTACTGCGTCTTCCTTCAGATTTCCTAAATTAATTAAACGCAAAATGAGCAAATCCTGATAATGAAAAAAAAACAACAATAAAAAGACAATAACTACAGCTCAACTCTGCAACTGAACAAAAGCATAAAATTATTGTATGCAGTTGGCTGCATGTAATTATGACAGAAAACTGTCTGGACAAGGAGGATCCTAATGGTATTAATCATCCCCAACCCAAAATGACCAACTAACCGCAATAGTCAAGGCAAGTCAACACATCATTGGAACTTCAAATTTATATAATAGTATAAATCATAATCAAAATATCCAAACTTCTGTGACAAGTTATAAAAGTTTAAAAAAAAAGTATATTACCTGGGTTTCGGGTATGATGGGACCATCCTTAATTGAGCCTCTGTAAAACGTTGACAGAGGTGAAGAGACGATAACAGGACTGGGTCTGATGAAACCACTCAGGTCACAGCTTGGAATGTCATTCTCCTCCTGAAAAAAACAGGGAAAGTGTGTCATTCTCTTTTGAGTCTATCTTAATTGACGGTGCCTGTTTGTGCCTGTTCTGTTTCTTAGTCAGAGTTAAGATATACATTTTTATAAATTTGGTATTGAATCATCAATAACAAATTGAAACAATAACTAACAAAAACAAAAGATTTTCATTGAAATTTTAGATTATTGCAGGGAAAAACGGAATCGGTGCCACTACTCACCTTCTTCATGACCAATGTGTCCATCACATAGAAGACATTCCATGGCACCCATACAGTTCTGTACTGAGTGAGGAATGGGGCACGCTCAAAGCTCAAAGTTAAGGACGCCCCACCGTTTGCCAACAGATCGAACCTGTGTGCATATCAACACCAAACAGCCAGTCATTTGGAATCGGACATTTACTTTTACAACAAATCCTGATGTAAAAAAGAGATAAAAACTGTCCTTGGCTCTTAATAGTTTGAAAGGCAACTGTACTTATCTGGATTCTTGAGATCCACAACAAAAAAGCAGATGTGTTGTCACGTTTGTGTTAAAACAACCACATTCATGAGTCACATTTATAATCTGAATGCATTTTTTCTATTTTAGTACTATTTAGTCCTATTACAAACTATTCTTTGTAACAAACATACTTGGTATGAAACAGTCATGAGGTCATATCCTGCTCCTACTGAATATGTAGAAAATCTCTAATTTCATGATTAAAAAGGCCATGAAATAGCAGGTGTAATAGTATGCTGAATTGCTGTTATTCTGGAGAAAAATGTGAAAAATAACTGAAAGCAAAAGAAAAAAGAAAAACTGCAGATTGTGACTATTGAATAATTTTAAATAATCGGTACACACATGCCATCCTGGCGGGTCACGGTATATCCATGGTCCGGATAGTGGACAAACGTCACATTGACGCCAATCAGCGGCGTTCCATCGGAGGTCAGCACCTGGCCTCGAATTATGGAAACCAAGCTGGAAAAATAAGAGAGATGATTTTAAAAAAAAAATCATAATATAGTTGCAACCTCTGAAAAAATGATTGTGTCTGTAATCATAATCGATCGAACCTAAGCTCTCTGACCTGTGATGTTATTGTCGCACAAACCCTTTAATGGAAAATCTGCCAATATACATTCATACCTGAGGGAGTAGTTTTTATCGGCATCAGTCCACAGAGGATGGAAAAATGTCTGGAGTACACTGGTGAGACCCTCATACTCTAGTGCCGATATCAGAACTTTTATTGTATTTTTACACCACAGAAGGGTTTTTAGAGTTGCTTGCATGCAAACATGACCTGCAATTCAGTTTCTTGCCATGAGTAATCAACTTCCACATACTATTTGATCTAATTAAACTGATGCATCTTTTTGTGAAGCCTTTGTGTCTGGTATTTTGTTTTCATACAAGGCAGAAAAAGCAGCTGATTTGGCATTATAATCTGAATCTAAGTTCTGCAAATGAACAACTGCACAAGTTTGACGTCTTTATGAAAACGCCTTGGGTCTTCAAGAATTTCTTGAAGACAGACAGGGACACCCCTGTTCTCACAGAGCTTGGTAGGTTATTCCACCATCAAAGAACGACACATAAAAAGAGTCTGGATTGTCTTAAGCGTGGTGCAGTCACTGCTCGCAGACAATCCATTGATTTCTAGAGTGATCTAGTTGTGACATAAGCCTTTGCAAGACTAATCAAGTAGAAGAGAGCCGTACCCTTAAGCACTTCGTATACTAGCATCAGTGACTTGAATTTGACGCGGGAAGCTAGGGGTGGTCATTGAAACTCCATGAACAGAGGAGTGATGCAAGACTTTTTGGGCTGATTGAAGACGTCGCGTTTTGATCATTTCTGGACCAACCATTCACACATAAATGACACTGTATACGGCTGTATGATTTAAAACAAAAAAAAAACTTGTTGAACGTTGGTGGCTGAAAAGAGCGACCTTTTCAGAGTTTATAATGGGGAAAAAAAGGAGACGTGACCCACAAAATCTAACTGGGATTTTATTTCAATACCAATCCCATGGTCACATCAGTCAGATTATGTATTCCAATGCAAATGATTGATGAGTCTATATTTACTCTTTGTCCCCTCTGCCCTCCTGCAAGGCCTCCTTGTAGTCCCATGTTTGACAATTGGGGGCTGAAGCCTATTCCAGTTGGCACTGGATGTGAAACTGCACTGGAATCCGTCACAGGATTAACACAAAGACATAATCATTCATACTCAGATCAGCAGCCAATTCAGAAAGACCAATGAGCAAAGACGGCTGAATCCAAACAGGAAGTGCCAGGAGAAACCCCGTAAAGTCACAGCTAAAACATGGAAACTACTCTCCAGCAAACCCCAGCGAATCACCCTGTTCCAAGCCAGAGCTTTGCTGCTTTAAGGGGGGGGGGGGCACTGATAACAACTACACTAATGTGCTTCCTAGGCGTACAGCTGTGAGCTGGGGTTTTAATGATTTATCTGCAATGGAAAAACAAGGACGTATTGAACACAAATGCCCATCATCAGCCAATGAGATTCGGTACAGCATGAAAAAAGAAGTCAACATAGAGTTAACATTACCTTTTATTGAATGGACTTTCTCCTGCAATGACATGAGTAGATTCGGGGCCAACAAGGAAGTGAATGCGCTGATGGAAGGATCTGGCGGCCTAAAGAACACAAGTGTAGAGAGCTGCTTTTGCTACACTGCCAATTTGTGGAAAATCAGGTTCTTACTCGCACATTCCAGCTTTGATTGCAATTCCTTACCTGCTGTGGGGCCAGTGAAGATGGAGACTGGCTGAGTACCTCACTTGGGTCAGGTGACCCTTTGCAATACAACTGGCTCTGACAAGAGGGTTGCAGGCAGCAATCTGGATCCATACAGTCAGTCAAGCCATCTGAAACAAAGAAAAACAAATATAACACTGACCAAATTAAGGGCTGGGAATCGAGGAAACTTGCTGCATTGACAACGTATGATGAAAGCTGGAAACTATTTTAATTAAAGGTGAATGACGGAATAATAAAGGTGGAGATGCAGAATAATGGCCAGAAGCATTTTCCAGAAGCTGGGGCATTAAATGGAACAAAGGGATCTTTTACAGCAGCTGCCTCAACATATTACAGAATGTTTATCTATTTAACGATCCATCGCCACACCATAACAATGTTTAGGTAGAAGTGTACCTCCTTCATTGTCTTTGCCATCAGTGCAAAGTGTTTCCATGGCAACGTGACACCCCGCCCCTCTCCATCCTGACTGACAGATGCAGTGCCAGCCACTGGCTTCCAGAGTGCACCGTCCATTGTTGTTACAGAGACCTGGACATCCCTCTGGGCAAAGGGGACAAGCAAAGAGTTAGAAAAGGTGGCATATAGATGAGATAAATTAGGCCTCAATTCATGCACGTTTCTGAAGATATTTGATGACCGTTTCGTACTGGAGTGCTGAGAGTTGTTAACGTTAATTTATTCATTGTTAATTTAATCAAATTGAGAGTTCACATGTAAAGTTCTAAGATACTTTTTTTTAGAAAATACATCATTACATTGTCTATAATAATATTCATTAGAATTAGAATTACTGCGTATTTCTGGCAGTTTTGCAAACTGCTTTATAAAATGCTCCTTACAAGTGAAATTACTGTTAAAAGACAAGGGTATAGAGTTAAAGGCCAAACAATGGGGAAACAGTCAAATTTCAGTGCCAAAATAAATTCTAAAATACTTTTTTTTTGGTGTGATTCATTTAGCATAAAAAATTGATTAAAAAAACAAAGTTTTCAATAATCATTGAGTCAAAACATGGTGTTGTTGGGCTTTTGTTAGGATTGAAACAGACAAATTTGTTTGACACAAAGCTAAAATAGACGTAGATGTGGACTACCACAAACACACAAGCCAAAAAGCCTTCCTTTCTGTCTTTGGACAGAAACCCTAAATTTGTGCAAACGTTTTGGTGAAATCAACCTCTCAGACTAATTTTAATAGTAGTAATGAATAGTTTCGTAGTTTAAATCTTAGTCCAATTATTTTCACATTTTAAATGTACTCAATTTAAGCCTGCAACAATGTAAAATCTGTTGGAACCATAAAAACTGAAAGATGGATCCTTGTCATGATCAACATTAGAATGACATAATACATAAATATACTTCTTATAGATGTTGGATGTGGAGTTGAATTTTGGATAATGCTATTTTAAAATCAGCTTAGTATTTCAATTTGTTCTGACCATTATATCAGGAGCTTTTTCACAGACAGGAAATACTTAGTGACAGTGTTTGAGATAAAAATTTTCAACTGAAAACACAAAGATGCCAGCAGCTTCAGTACGAAAAGAGATATTTGGTTAAATTTGAATGTGCCTTCAGTCGTTATGACAACTATTAGTCAGTGTGATGGACCTTTCTTCGATAAGTGAACTCACATGGGCCGACAAATTGAAAGACACTGATAGACAAATACAGCAAACTGGTCTCTAAACCCACATATGAGAGACGTAGACTGACAGATAAACAGAGAGTCAGCCTTTGATGAAATGCAATTGTGTTGTAGTTTCACATGAACCCCAAAGATTTTCTCAGCCAAAAAATGGAAAAGTTATGCTGTATGGCTGCACTTGGAAATGCATTTTCAATTCAATCGAAATCAATTTAGTTCTTTCATGATTGTATTTCTGGAAAAGAATGACGTTATGGTTGGATTGTATGATAATGTAAGACAGGACAAACAGACAAACCAAAAAAAATAAAAATAAACTGGATGTACTTGACAACCAACAAGCTGACAATGTCAATTGTTAAACATTTTTAAAGATGGAGTCCTTTTCTCTTGCTCTTCACGTCAGAGCCACAGGTTAATCCATGTGAAAACACAACAGGTAGATAGGAAGACAGAGTACGAAGTAAAGAGAGGACAGGATTGTTTGGACTGCATGCCCCCCAAAGGCCTCCATTAAGCATTCCTCAAACACTGAATAGGTAGGAAGGTCGAAAAAAATTAAACAGACAAACGGTTAATAAAAATAGTGACTGTTAGACATATGCAAAGCACAGCTGGAGAGATAGAGGAGAATACAAAAGAGTGACAGGAAAGACAAAGATAGAAAGAAAACAGCAGCTGGCTAAATCATCACACCTACACAGGCACACACACCCAAACGCCCACACCTGTGCAAGCACAAATACACACCCACACCCACATATAGACACGTGTATGTGTATATACATATATATAGATATATATATGAATGTATGTGTCTGTGCATGTGTGTGTGTGTGTGTGTGTGTGTGTGTATAAAACATACTTAATATATTTCTACACATATAAACACAGTCTATTGGCTTAGTATTGTGTATGCATTCCAGTTTTGTGAATGTGCTCTCGTGTACAACTACATTGACATTGTGCGTTTTTTGTGAAAATCAGTGGCAATGACAGGCATAACTGGAACCGGAAGACTTAAGAAACAGAAAAAAACAACACAATATGACAATACAGAAACCAGATACAGTAAACGCTGAAAGGAAATATAAAGATGAAAGTGAAAGGAGCAGATAATGAAACTCAATTCAATGTAGTCAGCAGTAACAGTTAGTGTGAAGTTGTATTTTGGCAGAGTGAAGCCTTCATTAAGTCTTTGGCTTGAGTTACCTTTATATCCTGAGAACAGGAGAGGGCAAGAAGGAGAGAGGGAGGAAAATTAGGGAAAAAAAGGAAATTGAAACCAAAAACAAGCACTGCCAAATATATTCTGTGATGGATGGTGCAGCCAATGGTAGACTAAGGAAAGGACAAGGAGCTGGGATCAAATCAAGGGAATGGAATAGCAGAGATACAGCAGTAAAATGACTCAATCAAGATCCGTCTTCACACATAATGTCTCACAATGGGAAGAGGAAAAAAAGAGTTAAAACTGACCGCAGAAGGCTTCCTAAAAATGTTCTTCACTGATCAAACAAAAGGATTTTAATGTGTATAATATAGCTGATGTAAAGGAGAAATTAAAACAAGTTGATGGTTATAAAGACATACAGGGTAATTATGGATTATACATACTTGCCTTTAAAAGAAAAAAAAAAAAGAATATCTCAAGCAACTATGATTATGGCTGAAATTGAAACTAACGTGACATCAGCCCAAAGTAGCAGTTTCTAAAGCTACAGTTCCTTTCATTTCCACCAGATGCTTCTCAATCAAGTGCTTAAAATAACTCAGCACAGTACTAGACCCAGTTATAATAAAACATTTTTAGATGAGATAATTTTTTTCTTTTTCTCTGTTTGTCACTTTTGGACCGTATTCCCAACCAATAAACGTAGGCTGAAATTGCAATGGAGACAGTCAGCAGCCATATTTAATTGAAACTGTAATCAGTCTGGTAGAGAGGAAGTCAGATTTGAGTATGTCCAGCTGGGGTCCTTGCTTCACCTTTGGGTCATTAACAGATTTTTGTGCTTGGTAGTAGGTAGAGATGGCCATTAACTGAATTTTATATTGCATATTCATTTTTACATTCACATAGTAAGATGCCAAAAACCAGCAACAAATGTAAAGAAATAATCTGACATCACAGGTCAAAAGGGGTGTTTTCGAAACCCATTTTTGGTTTTGAAAACACTGTTATATAAAAGTTTTTAAAAAATACTGTTTATACATACTGTTTAAAATTTTGAGCAGCACTCCATCTCTGCCTTTATTTTTCATAGATATTAACCGGCTACCAAACTGAGTCTTTAAAGCTTACAACTTTGAACATCAATTCCATGGTGGAGAAGAAAGTTAGAAGAGGCTTTAAATTATAGTTGCACACTTTGAAGTAGATATTAAGAGAACTAGGAGAAAAAAGGGTTAGTGTTAAATAATTACTTTTTTTTAACTTTGTCATAGATTTTTTAATTTAGGCTACCCTTTATAAACCGAATTTTGATTGTCGTTGTATTTAATAGTATCACATTGTGATATGTCCTTAAAAACACGAATGGTACAGATTTTAATAATATAATACATAATAGTGTTGCTAGTAGCTTCAATTAACTGTACAGTTTTAACTTTTTATGTTCTGTGCCACAATAAAATAACTTCCCTTTCCATTAATTGATATGCCCCCTCATTCAAATACAAGGGAGCTGAAGCCTATCCCGGCTGACACTGGGCGGGAGGCAGGGTAAAGCCTGGACAGGTTGCCAGTCCATCAAAGGGCCAGTCATAAACAAGATAGGCAACCAGGGAAATTTACACTCACTCCTATGGGCAATTTAGAGTCTCCAGTAAATCTAACATGCATGCTTTGGGATGATGGGACAAAGCTGGAGTACCGGGAAGGAACCCACACATACATGAGTAGGACCTCCTCCACACAGAAAGGCCCCCCGCCAGGGATATTTTGTATTTAAATAAATTCAGCTTTGTAAGTTTACATTATATAAGAATTTATTGCTGTTTCAGTCACGGGATGTTTAAACAAAACAAGCAGACATGATTTCGATGACTTCAACACAGCATTAAAGAAAAGTTAAGCTGCTTCTGCAGGAGGAAACAAAAGAACGAGGAAAAAAATGAAAGACACCATGAGATTGAAATTCTCTAGTTTTTGCTGCGCGGACACAGACAATGATCAAAAAGAAAAAGGTATGCGATTCATAAATGAAAGCTGATATTAAGATAAGGTAAACAAACTTAATATAAAAAGTATGAGGAAAAAATGTAACTTATTCCGAATATCCAAAATTAAAACTTACCACAGGCAGTAATAAAAACGTGTAAATAGAGCTAAAGAAATCACAGCTCCATTCTATGTAAACAAACCAGCAAAAAAAATGAAAATAATTGAAAAAAAAATGAAGGGAAGGGGAAGAAAAATAGCCAGCAATGAGGTAAAGACGAAGAAATAGTACAGTACCTTTCACTCTAATGTCCGGATTGTGAGCTTGACAAAAGAAGGAAAAGGGAAGAAAGGAAAAAAGATGGACGGGGAGAATTTAGTTAAGAAAGCAGGCAGCAGGGAAAAAAAAGAAAAATCAGGGGTGGACTACTTTTGTTTCTAGCAGGCATTGAGTTAGACGGTGCAGAGTATGTGTGTTCACGTCCATCCTCCTAAACAATCTCCTTAAGACCTTGAAAGTTTTTATATTAATTTACTTTATTTTTTTCCACCCTTGATTATCGACAGGAATTAGATTTTTCGACTGGCAGGATAAAAAGTAAAAGAACACAAAAAAAAATAGTTGTAATCCATCCAAAGGGTTTTTCCATTTCAAATTAGCCAGAATCTTAGCCTCATTCTAATGTCTTTTACTATAAAATTTATTTCTATGGAGTAATGAAATTCTATCAAAATTCTCACAATACTGTTCCGGTTGTCACAATCTGGCCAGAGCAACTGAATTTGAATGCATCCTAATTCCATCCTCGGTGTGTTTCTACCTTCATTTAGTTCTGTGCGCCTCCAAGAGTAATAAATGACGAGTATACTTGTTAAGAGACAATTGAGAGACAGTGGGTGCAAATGGATATGCGACAGAGCTGCAAACTGAGCCTTGCACACCTGCTCATATTTACTTCATAAGATAAAAAAAGGACTTCCATTGGCCAAGTTTATCTGTCTTATGCTAGCTATTCACTGTATTTATTGACATTAAAGTCCAACAAAAAAACCCCCCCAAAAAACAGAAATACGAGCCCTTATGTAAAATATTGAGGAGACGCTCTCCGTGTCCCTGACCCTTACTCCTAGATGGTTACAGAAGAGTGACCTGACAACTAAACGCTCAGCTTCCAGTTGCTTCAGTTCCAGCCATTAGATTAAAATTCTAGCTATCACTAAAACATGATTTTAAAAAAATCTGTAACCATACACAATCAATATATATGCATGCAACTATAACCATATAACCCTTTATTGGGCAAATGGGTTCAACGTGCTACAGAATCTGCCACACGCCAGGGCAACAGATTAAAAATCAGTCAGCTAAGTTGGTCTGTTTTACAGTGGGTGATGTTATATGGGCTCTTCAATCAGATAGAAGCAGTCAAACTGTCTCTGTGGTAAGAGAGTTAGGGTTACATAAGTTAAAATGCTTGTGCTGAAGTTCTTAAAAGCCCATTTCTTTTAATTTGAGAGTAGATTTGATATTTATTCCTAAAAATGAAAAATTCACTGTAATTACATTGCAATTACGTATTTAAGTTTGCTTCAAAGAGATATTTATCGACAAGATTGCATGTAAGAAAGAAATTAACTATGGACAAGAAAAATAAATGTAAATTTTTTTTTATAAGTACATTAAAAAAAATGGTTCCATGAATACATGTAGAACTAACAAAATCTTTTTTTTTTTTTTGTGTGCGGGCCCGCGCGTGCTGTTACTTTCAACTCACCAATGTTGCAGTGCTCCCCTGTCCATCCTTGGTCACACTCACACTTCCCGTCTTTGCACACCCCGTTCTTGCTGCACAGGGGGTGGCAGGCCTTCTGATCGCACAGGGTTCCCGTCCAGCCGTCCTCGCAGCGACAGGCGCCGCCGTAACACATGCCGTGGCTGCCACAGTCAACCTCGCACACCTCTGTGAGAGGAATAAAAAACCGAAATCAGCAGACAGCAGACAGAAATGCACACAATGTCCAGAGTTTAGTAGTTTGTTAGACAGTTCTAGACAGTTCTAGCATGTTTCATCGAGCATGTACCCGAAGCAAACCAAACATACTGTAGTATATCATCACCCAGTGTTGTGGCCAACTGCATATTAATAAATGGCCCAAAAAGTGAAAGATTTTCCACAAATGAATGCCAAATCAATGCTTTAATGCTAAAAATAATTGGGGGCCGATCAAACTAAGGAAATTCCAGCAGAAAACAAAAATATGTTTGTTAGAAGAAAAACGATTTCATCTAAAACCTAAATGCCTGTAGTTAATTGTTGACATGTTTTTGGTAGGATATTGTGTGGCTGACACAGCCATCCATTCACTTTCTATTCTACTTGTTACCAACAGGTCTGGGGGCAGGGGGCTGTGGTATTCAATGGATTTTAACTATAATTTATCATTCTTGTAGTTTATGTATGGGGGAAAAAAAAGCAGACTTAAAAAAAAAAACGTTCCCTTAAGATCACCTACATCCATCACCTGTCTAATTCGAGCAACATTTTATAATTTGTCTAACAGTGTATTTATTATACAACAGCAGCAACAAAGAAAGCCATGTAGACAAGTTAAAGTAAATTCTACCTTTCCTCTGAGTGCAACATCACTTAACTTACTCTGTGCTCGAGAAAGGACGGGACAAGCTGTTTGTGCAGCTTTCTGCTGGCTTTGATGAAAGAGACATACACTAAATGTAACACGGCTATACTGTTGTATACGCTGCTGTAACAATGACAAGGCGTGCCTCAGGATGTATGTCGACTAATCTGTTCCTATTTGTGTGCTTGATGTGTGTGTGTTTATTGTTCCGTCAGATCTTTAGGGAAAGATCCACACTCCAGAGGTAAAGTTTTGTGCGCGTTTCCACAAAAGATGCCGTTCTTTAATGCTTGTGCGTTCGACGGTTCTGATGAGCATGAAAACACGCAGAACGAACACAAACGCATGCAACACGCACACACTCCTGTCCTCTTATTGGTATGCATATCTCGTGGCTGGCTACTGATCTGCATTCCTCCGTCAGTGTTTTCTGTCTCACCACCGTTCCGCATCAGTGGCGACACTTCAGGTCTGTTTTGCTCCTTATTTGTCTTTGTTTTAACAGTAACGGGACAGAAATATTCATCGGAAAAGATGATAGTGTGTGTGTTTGGGGGGGGGGTCATGATTTCAAATGCCACCACCACCCCACCCCCCTCCCACAAAAAAGGAAAACAAGCAGAAGCTTTGTAAACCTTGTAATTGGTGACTTGTGTTTGTCAGTATCCAGGTCAAATTAAGGTTAAATCTAAGTGACTCGGGTATGGACGCTGTTGAATCTTTTCATTTAATTGGAACGTTGCCCTTGTCCCAGTTTGCATGCATTGAAGGGGAATGCAGTCATTGGCTGAAGTCCGTCAAATGCTATGGGAGGTGTATCAGGGATTTAAGCAGAGCGATGGTATGTAAATGGGATTTTATAAATGGAATTTCTTAATTGAAAGCGAGTTGATAATTAAGGACAATAAGGCAAACAACAATGCCCACACATCCCTTCATTAAGTTTAGTATTGCCAATTAACACGGCACACAGGCACGTCGTTTGTAGGCTGTGGATGGATGCTGACGTTTCTAACAAGCTTCACGCAGGGGTAAAATATGCTAACTTTCGTAAAGGCTCTGGCCAAACCAGGAGCCATAAATCTCAACACAAGTCTCTTTCATTAAACTTTGACAATGCACTTTTGCATAAATGTATAGAAAAATATAAAGTGCCTACTGAAATCTAAACTATTAGAAAAATGAATTGAACAGGTAAATAAGTTCCTTCTGTTGGAAGAAACTAATTTACCTTTTTTTTTATTTTTATTAACTTAACAAAAAACTTTAAAAAACATTTGGGCTTTTTTTTTCTCATTTTACTCTGACTGCAGCACTTTACTTTATCCACTATCATCAGACTTTTCTGCTCAACCACAACCTGACTTGCAGTTTGTTTTTCCATTAGATTGAGTGCATTTTCTAAACTCTTGGTGTTGTTTCGTCCCAGATATTTTCAGGTGGATTGTAAAGTTGAAAATGTTAAATTACAGATACCAGAGCATATCTTATCTATCTTACATTCATAGAACTTGAACATGTTTTGCCATTATGGTTCAGAATTATGTAGAATGTGCTATTCTTCTGAATATAAACTTATTCAAAGAACTTCTAATGATCATTTAAATAGTTTCTCAGAATAATATTTACCGCTACAGGCTTAGTGTAATTGACCGTTTCGGTGAGAGGTTTATTTTCCTTTTCATTTTGTGCCAATTCTGTCTCTTATGACTTTGTGATATTAAACCCCAATGAAATCCTGAGTAAAAAGGGATTCAATAAAAGTTGACCTTTGCATTCGAATTTACCTTTGTATTGAACATTCAATGCCGGAGGAGGAGGAGGAGAGGCAGATCAGAATTAGAATGAGGACACTTGCCGGTATATTTCATACGCACCTAAAGAGCAGTCTGGCCCTGTCCAGCTCTGGTCGCAGGCACAGGTGCTCGTCTCGGCGTTGTAGGTGCCGTGGCCTGAACACTGATCTGGACACATGGCCTTGGCAATCTCGCAGCTGGCTCCGCCCCAGCCTGGCTGACAGTGACACTCACCATGGATACACACCCCGTGGTTTGAACAAATAGGGTCTATGCAGTCCACTGGAGAAAGATATGGGGGAGAATTTTAGTAATTCACCATACGTGTAAAGCGGGATAAATTCAAGCAGGACCAAGTGGGTTAAGCTGATTAAGATCTGGGAGTGTGTGGCTAACAGCTAAAGCTGCAAACAAGGACAACGAATTCCTCCCCTTGGATTCACTTTGCCATTAGCAAGGCTAATCTGTCTTGAATTTGAACTTTTACATTGCCTTATGCCCAATATAATAAAGGTGAGATATGTTTGGTAGTTGAAATCTCCACCATGTTTGGCTCAATAACACTCAATTCCAGAAAAAGATAGAGCAAGATGTAAAAACCAAACAATGCTTTTTACCATAATTATGATGAAAAGAGATAATGTTATCCACAGAGAAACATTTTTTCTTTTAATTGGCCTCTTCTACACAAATTTGCAAATTTAGATGCCATGTCATTGATTCCAATAAATGGTGTGACCTTCCGAAACCATCTGACAGTTACAGGGTTGAAAACATGGTTGCATATCAGATCAATTATTTCGCATTTTAATGAGACATCTGGTTTACACAAAATATAATAAGATGAATTACTCCAAATTACCGTATCAACATATGAACTTAACCATTAAGTCATGATACTCTTATTAGGACAGAAAGGTTAATAAGGATTAAAAAAACAAAATGCACATGTTTAGTAAATGATTTTGTGCCACAGTTGGAGATCAAAACCTTGGAACTCGCTTTAAAAATGTCAGGAAGCTTGTTTCGCATAAGCCAAGAAGGCCCACAACAATCCAGGTTTTCTTTTTAGAAACGTACAGCTGTATGGACAAATTTCATATTTAAGCATGCAAGCTAATCTGTTCCCTTTTAAATATGACTACAGCATTTGAACTATACTAACCTTAAATAAATGACTATAAATTTGTGTTGACTACTAAATTAAAGACACAATACAAAGCTTGTAAGAATAAACGGTAAAACACACAAATTCCAGATGGAACAGGTGTGTTCCTAAAACCTTTTAAACTGACCCAGTTGTTCTGATCATGAGGGGGAGTAGTGTTATGAAGCGTGAAACCACACGGTCTTCTGGTCATGCATATGCATTTCAAACACCAACAGTTGAGCTTGTCTTTCATTTTGAATGGCTCGACATCTTGCTTTGTTGAGCTCAATTTTAGGGCGAGTGGCTTTACTCGCTCTGTGTAAATTGCAATGTTACGATTTCAATTCGGTAGCAGAGGTACCAGCTAATCAAATTGCTCAGTTCATTGTGCGTCTGATCCTGTGACCACTGATGCCGGCTTTTACCACGGGCCGAATTGACTTTATTCTTACCTTCCTCGCAATTTTCCCCCTTGTAACCGGTGTTGCAGATGCAGGCGCCGATGATGCAGATACCATGTCCTCCACAGTGGATGTCGATGCACTGGTTGGATGGGACGTCACACTCGGTGCCTTTCCAACCACTGTAGCACTGACAGCGGCCGCGCGAGTACTGGCCATTACCACTGCACAGCACTGGACACGAAGCTGTACGAGACCATTTGAGGCAGACAATTCAGTTAGCCGCAAAAACATTATAGACTGATTCAAGTTGAATTGCTAAAATGTTCATCTTGTTAAACTCTGTGCTCTATCTGTTCTGTATCCATATTAACCGGACTCATTTTCAATTGATTATTCTGGTTTTAATTGGTGGCTCTCAAGAATACGGTGCTCGTATTCGCATATTTACCTCTAGAACAGTCTGGCCCGAGAAATCCTGGGAAACAGTGGCATATTCCTGAGAGACAGTCCCCATTTCCATGACAGTTCTGAGGACACTCCATAATTGACTCTGATAAAAAAAGATTTGGATAGAAGACATCTTAGCATCCAGTCACTCTGTTGCATTTCCACCTTTCTCTGACATAATATTCTGAACTCTCAAGTATGTCTCAGTGCACACACACACACAGAGTTGGAAGAGAAGTATGTTGAGGCATCAGTAATTCTGCCAAGTCCCACATATCCCCGACTTTGTGAGAGAATCAAAACTCTTAACATTTTACTTCAGTTCACTTAACAAATTACAGCAAATGACATCTCAAGGCACTTTAAAAATTACTGTCCAGTTCCAGTAAAATATATTCCATATCATTATAATTCAATCATAATCCAATAAGGTTTACCTTGCTATGGAAATTAATAGATCAAATCCAAACTATGCTTTTATGACAACCTGATTCCTGACTATGTATGAAGCTCAGGTGGAGTGTTTTAAAAGGTATGAAATACAAGTGTTGAGTTCAATTAATTCATGAAGGTGTGATGTCTTAAGGTGTAGATGTTAATGTTGCTGTCCATAATCATATTGTTTAACTCAATTAATGTAGTTCAGCCTTTTTCAGGAATATTGGTTCACTAACTGATATTGGGTTTGATTTTCTTGTTTTTTAACATCGTTATCAGCTCTGCGGGAAAAAAAGCTGCTGTTTACAGTTTACAGGACAGATCCACATAGTTTCAGTTATGCTTTTGATAAATGAACATTATTTGTGTATTATGGCAGAATGTATCAAGCATGTAAATGGTAAGAGAAACCTCCGGAAACTCTGGTTCCTCCGACCGTCCAAAAACATGCAGTTGAGCCGACTGGAGACTCTAAATTACCCCTAAGAGTGACTCTAAGAGTGTGTGGTTGTCTGTGTGTGGCCTTGTGATGGACTGACGACTTGTCAAAGGTGTACCCTGCCTTTCTCCCAATGTCAAGGGAAATAGTTATGTTAGACAGACAATCTGAGTTTAGCTGACTTTTAAAGCTCCTCTCAAACGCTGATACAGCCACAAATCAATAGTAATAAGACAGCCTAGTAAACTGTCAATTTTACTGAAATATGTTTATAAAAATGTGACATGCCAATCATGTTAAGTGTTTGTTTGTGCATTTATAAGACACTTTTAGATGCAACATTAGTTACCATCAACCTGACAATAAACTACATAGAAAGTCAACATGATCGCGGCATTGCAACATGATCTTTGAAATTCAGCTGGTTGTCAATCATGATACCCCAGTTTCTTGCTACCTCTGATGGAGCAAGAGGTTGTGATTCAGTTTGGATATGAATATTTCTTTGTAGGGTTGGTTTGGCTGGGAAGATGAGCAGTTCATTTTTAGAGATATTTAGTTAAAGGTGATGGGCTTTCATCCATTTTGATACTTCAGCAAGACAGTCTGAGATGCGTGTTTAGATTGTGCGGTCTCAATAGTTTAGTAATCCTTATTTTTGAGGGTTTAAACGTCTAAGATGAGTTGAAAATAAGATAAATTAATTGCAGTTAGCTGTGAACTGAATACCCCCACAACATCCTCACCTTTTGAAGAGTGAAGAACACCAATGGTGGCAATTAAAAATGCAAAAGGTACCATAAGACGTTTTTTTTTTATATTAAATAAAGAAAAAATGGTAAAAATAAGGTCATGCAACATGAGACCGATAAGGAGCCAGACATCTGGATAGTTTGCGTCTAAGTTTCCTATAAGGAATGTTAACATAATGAATTATTAATAATGAAAATTTTACAAGATATGCTTTATAGTGGAAGAAACGATCAATTGCTATGCCGATGATACTTGGTTGTACTTAAGAAAAGTACAAAAATGAGACGGAGAGATTTTCTTTGGACATAGATCTTCAGGTTGAACTCGTTAAACCACATGGTAACACAAATTGGTATTTGGCTGATGAATATGAACTACCGTAAGATATCATAGTTTCAGATTCTCTTCCATGACTGCCAATTAAATTCCAAATTGGAATTGAATATTCCTCTTCTCACAAGTTAAGACCTAAATGACCAAATTATCATATTTTAAAGATCTAGTGGTTCAATATACTCCAGATTTACTGGTCATTATTAGTCTTTTTAAAAGTATAATGGGAAGCTGAGCCTTCACCTCTCATGCCCCTTTCTGGTTAAACCCACTGTCAGACTCCCTGTCTCTCTTTCAGGTTTGGCTTAAAATCTTCCTTTCTTAGTTTAGGGTTCACTCAGATGAAAGAAAAAAACAAAACAAAACAAAGGGTGGCTGAACTTGAAATGTACCATAGTTGTTTTGCTATAGGACTGGAATGCTGATGGATCTCCCGTCTAATGCATCTCTCCTTTCACTCCTCTGGAGTTTAGATTTGTATTTTTCCCATAGTGCCAGTATCTGTGCAATGTGTTGATTCCTTTTTAGCAAGTTGTTTTTACTGGCTTAGTTTAAGGAGAAGAAACTTAGATTTTAATTAATTGCATTAGGATGAATTATGATTTTATTAAAATTAATTGTATCATAACTGGTTTAAACCGAATCGTATATCTGAAATACAAAACTGATTTGAAATAAAAGACAAACTAATTAAATAAAAAAAAATTAAAGCAAACTGAAATCTCTCAGGTTAATTCAGATCTGCATTTGTATAATACTGCCAGACAAGAACTTTATCAGCACTCCCGACGATAAATATGTCTCACCTATGATGACGGTATTGTAAGAGACTTGTTCTGTGTTGCGTCCGTCATTGTAAAAGGCCAGATGCCATATGCCTGTGTCCAGGTACTGAATAAAGACAGCCTCGAGCACATTTACTGAGCGTGTGTGCCGAACTCCCCCGCTGGAATCTTCGTCTTGATAACCCGCCAGGTGCGCATACACCGAGTCCACGTCACTGAGGGCTCGTTTCTCTTTGGAGATGAGGCGACTACCATCCAGCAACTCCACAAAGTCATACTGAAAGAGATGAGAGAAAAATGATGTCATGAGTGCAAAATCACTTATGACAGAAACGTGCAGGGAGGGGAACACAGAGGGATGACGCGCAGCCATTTTTCATTCCTGTCACAGCATGGCACCTGAACTTGGGCCAGCTCCTTGTTCAATCAGTCTAGCTGCCCAATCCCAATACATGTCAAATTTTTGTGGCCTCACCCAGTGAGCGTCAGGTCAGTCTATTTCTCAAATAACCTACCAGATGATTGTCATCAAGCAAACACTGCTCAGTCTCTGTCAATTTTGGAAAAAGCCATGAGGAAGTGTATTGATCTCAGTGATGTTTTGTTTCTGACAATTCTGGTTTTGAGAGTTTGAAATGAACTTAATTTTTATCCATCTCTTTGTTTCAATCGCATTTTTGAATCTTTAGTCTTATAATGAAATTAACACAAACAAAATTATATTTTTTTCCTCTACAGTTTTACACTTTTTACACTTGAGACTGAAAAAACGAACAATGGAAACTTGTTTTATCCTTGCTTATCCGGCATCCTTAACATACAATTGAATGGAGAAAAGAGTGAAATTAGCTGTATTTTACAGAATACTTGATCAGTCTTTGAAAGAAATCATCCTTAAAGGTATACCTAATTCATCAATATGCTGATTGTGTTATCATTCACTAAGACTTTCAAACTCACATGGCAGTGAGGGATTTCACCATCTGTTGTTGACAACAGATATGATACCTCCATGTTTGCTTTTGCAACTGCTCCTGCTGTTTCTGATGGCTCATACTGTCTTACAGCTGGGCAGAAATGTACACCTGCAGTCATCTTTTCAGTGAAACCCATTAAACTATTATACTATTTTTCTCAATATTCTTTCTATGCTCCCCTGGGTGCTACAAGCTGATCCATTTTGTGTGTGTGTGCGTGTATATATATATATATGTATGTAAATGAGAGAGAAATAGGGGATGTAAAAACAGTTTAAACTTAATCTACTTAATCTATACAGAGAAAGGAACATAAATTTAGGAAATGAACATCCATGTACATCAATAGTGTTTGTGCATCCAACCTGCGTATGTGATGGTGGGAGTCCTTTGCGTCCATACACCCCAACCAGAGCATCTTTTTGTACGGAAATGTTGAACTTCAAGAACTGCGGTTGGTCAATATATAGTTGGGACCTCCAAAACACACCTTAGATAAAAGTAAAATGGACCAGGATGAGTGACTGATTAAAATCTGTCATTTAGACATTCAAATCTTTTATCACACAAACATTTTTCTGTTTGTATATTTACAATAAATGCAAATCATGATCTTTTTTTTAGTCACTTATATTTATAATGTTGTGACTTACTGATGTAATTCAGTTAAGCTTTCAATAATCCACTAATCATCTTTGACACTCATCAATTTTCAAAAATGAAGAGCCAAAGACGTAATTTTTTTTCATTTGTATCGCAATTCAGTACTACAATTCTATTCTAAAAGTAGATTTCTATGGTGGGGAAAATGTGCAACACAAAATTATTTTTGTTACCGTTATTGTTAATCTCACGTATCTTACATGTGGTGACTCCACTATCTTACCGTACAAAATTTCAATCAATGCAAGTTCTTTATTTCCTGTCCAGTCTGCTGTTCAGGTAAATGCTTAGATATATCTGTATTCCTCATCACCTCAATCTCTTTAGTTTGGATGGAGACAGTGTTTGGCTTCTTCTTGATCTCCCTAAAACCCACAACCATCACTCTTGTTTTGCATGTGAGCTGATTAAGGGGACCTGTTCCCTATACTTAGCCTTGTGCCGACTGGCACCCCTAATAAATATGAATTCGATTTAGAGTGTTTTTGTAAAAGACACAAATCTGAGTTGTATTTTAAGAGAGTATAGTCCCCAGTGCACCTCTGCTGCTGACCACCGTCTTAGACGCCTTCCCTTCAATCTCATGAGTTGTGGCCTATTTGTTAGGTAGTTAATAATCAAAGTGGTTGTTCATCACCCTGTGTTTTTTCGAGGTCTGACAGAAATCAAAGAACATGATCATGACTATGCTGTCTACTTTGATAAACACAAGTACATGAACACTAACAGGACAATATGCGAACTGTAGTGTTGAGAAAACTGTCATGGGATCTTATGTGTGCATGTTCTGCATCTGTGTACATTTGTGAGCAGTTACGACAATTTAAAACTAAATTCCCCCTCTTATTCAACATTCCACCACTTTGTGTAGTTAAAAGAAACATGTTAACCAAGAAATAATGATGGCATAACATTAAAAATTCCGTTTTTTTTTTTTAGTTAAACAGTGTCGAACAGGTGGATTAACCATTAACAAAACATAAAATGATTGTTTCAGTGACAAATGTTCTGGGTGTGCGTATATATTGTGTGTTTTTAACCTGGCGGGACATCTTGTATGGCTCGTCTTCCAACATCCAACTCCCCTGTGTCTATGGTGTTGTTCTCCAGGAGAAACATCTTGCCTGTAAGGTAAAAAAAACAAACCCAAAAACTTAAGTCACATTTCCAATTAAAAAATGTTATAGCAGCGTGATGTATGGTTGTTGGGTTTTTTTTAATCTTTCATATATTAAATTTTTTAAATGAAAACAATGGTGGGTTACATACTCGAAACAACAGCATACAGCTTGGTCGGAATCAGTATAATTTTCTTCATGTTTTAACTTATGAAATGCAGTATGGGTAGTTAATTAATTATAATATATTTGATGAGTATGACTCTCTAGGAATTAAACACATTTACTCAGGTAATATCAGAGAAATAACATTCACTCACATTCCTGAACTTTTTCACGTTTTTATTTAAACTCGAATAGCTTAATAAAATACATCAATTGTACTTAAATAATTTACAACATAGAAAACTTATAAGGTTTTTGTTAACAAAAAATATTTTGATTATTTGAAAAGAATAACTTCCTAGTAAGATATGGTGGCTCTAAACCACGGTCTGTTGAGATGAACAAGACACTTATTAAAACATTGATTTTAATAATACTTTAATTTCATCCAGTCTAAACCAAGTCAGCCACTACGTTTATTTAATATCCTCAATGCGAGCATCTGCAGCTCAGAAAGAAGAGTGCTTATCTACCAATTAGTAGGTTAAAGGTTCAGCTTAACTTTTTTTTAATAATGAATACATTTTTTTAAACAAAACTTTCATAGGTTTTGGGAGATAAGAAATTATTAAAGTCCCATTCATGTGAAAACTCACCGTTGTCCGTGGACACCACAAAAGTGTTGGGAGTTGTATCTCTTCCACCTCCTCCATTTTCAAATGCTCCATAAGTCTCGCTCTCCTGCAGCTGCCAGTTTAGACCAAACAGGTGCATCGCTGGAACATTGGGGAGAAGAGAAAGAAAAACAGAAATGAGGGTTAAAAAAAGAAACAAGGTACAAGAAACACATGGGGGATACATTCAACGAGAATAAAAAAGAAAGAAAGGTAGAAGTGCAGTTAAATGATGCCAACGTAAAGCTGTGAGTGGTCAAAAAAATAGAGAAATCATATAGGAAAAATAAGATAAAAAAAAAATATATATCATGAAATGTTAAGAAAAGAAAGAAGATTTAACAAAAAAGAGAGACAATTCAGGCCATCACTGTTATTATAGAAAACTTGTTTTCATTATACTGAGAATGCTCATCATAACCAGCTTATTCTGCTGAATTCGGGCTAATACTGCCAAAGACTTTCAACAAAAAAGACAGACAAAACTGTGTCATCTGCTCTTTGCTGCCCATGGCTCCTGGGCTTCCTCCTTGTTCGGGACATTATGTGGTCCAGTAGCCTTTATTTGAAAGCTGATTGACTTGAGGGAGGTCAGAGAGAAAAGGCCACGTTACGCAGCCGGGTACACCTGCTGAACCGCCTGAACTTTGGGGACAGCTGTAGCTCAGGAGGAAAATAAGTCACACAGTAATCAGGAGGTTGACGGTACGACTCCACACGTCAAAGTGTCTGTGGGTAAACACTAAAACCCCACCGGTGCCTTCGGTAGCCTCCTCCTAAGAAGCTTCGGATAAAAGGCTCTGCTAAATGTATAATGCAGTTGACCTCTCTGACCGGTATGCTTTATTGGTTTAATGAGAATCCAATGGCGAATGAATAATTAAATCAAGGCCCTGATAATTAGCTGTGGAAGAGGCCCTCGAAAATAATGTCACACAGTGGTGCTGTGAAGATCAAAAGCAGTCACGTGCTCACGCCCGAACTCGACTTCTCTCAAATTAAGATCGTATAGCAAAAGGTAATATAAGAAAATAAAAAAAAATGACTAGTCCTCCTGACAGCAATTTGTTTAATTGTTTCTTCAGACTGATCCAAATACAAAAGAGTGAGTGCTAATATCACAGCGCGTGCAGCTCTGACTGCATCGGCTCGGTGAGAGCAGCAATGTCGGATCGGATGATGCGCTCCTGCATACCGGCTGCTTCCTACACACGCATTTAATTTGCTCCTCCACTTCCAACTTACCTCTGAGCCCTTTATTCCGCTAACAGGGTTGCAATGTGCACAACAGCTTAAATGTGACGTGGGAAAGAAGCGATTGATTTAACTCGGGATACAGCTAAAGAGAGGAGACCCCCGCTGTGGATCCCCTGACTCCGCACACCTGACTGAAGTTATTTCAAACTCGTACACGGGCCTGTCCGTCTCATTAAAAGGAAAGCCCTCCCATTCGCTCCTGTTACCCATAACCCCCTTGCGGGTGAGGACAGAAGCAAAGGGTCATGGGATAGTGTTGGTTAATTGACAGGAAACTGTGCAGGCCTGTGTCTGTTTTTGTATGCCGTAAAGTAAGAGGATTAACAACAGCGACATAAGACCGACTCTTCCTAATTGGACATTTTTGGACAATTCTGATGATGGGACAACTGAAACAATCAAATTCAACGGAAAAAAACCCAAAACATTAGCAAATTGCAGTTGGGATGAAAGGTTATCAGTGGAAGCAATCACACACATATTTTCTAAAGTATCTGCAGAACCAAATACTTCAAAAGCCAGTCTGGAATCAACCTAATGCACATTTCCCTGGTTTCCTTTTTAGCTCTGATATTCGTAAACATATGCCGAGGGACCACAGTGTAAAAAAAGGTGTTCCGCATCTTTTCTGCCTCTGTTTCCACAACCCTGTATAACTTTCCTCTTCATTGTGCAAACAAGGGTCTGCTGTGTCAGTGTGTCATGAGCTCACCTACTTTCTAAATCTATACATAGAATCCACTTGGACATATAGCATTTTTCTGCATTGCATTTTACTGAACATAGAAACGGCTGTGAAAGTGCACCCCAATGGGCTCTTGCCTCAGAACCCATTATATTTATGCACATTCCAGCTGTAGATGAAACCACTGGTGTGTTTACAGATAAATCATTTCTACAGCACACCTGAAATCTTTGTCTTGGCATGAAGGCTTATCTCTGTCCATTCATTTCCCGTTTTCACATTTCACATGTTTTTGTTTTGTTCTTTTAAATGGAAGTGATCCGTCTATGCTTTAACCCTATAATGCCAAATGTATCATATTTTAAACATACGGTTTCTGAAGTCTTTTGGATCTGAGACTTTTCGCATCATTCAATGGTAAAAAAAACAGTCAGTAGAAGACTACACCAAAATACATTTTTGACTTATTGCACGCTAATTTGATCAAAATAATTTCTGTTTTTTTTTCTTCATAAGTTGTTGAGGGACCAAAGAAAGACTTCAGACTAAAATTCAGTTTGTTTTTAAGTTTTCAAAATCCAATATTCTTCCTATTTTTCTTGGATCAGGCTTTAAAGGGTTAAAACGGCTTAGATAAGGTTAGCTTAATAATTAAAAACACATTAATTCAAATGAATAACCTAATGAAAGTAAAATACTTGAAATTTTAACTTTATTTTTGGCCAAATATCACAATTGGGAAGCTTTTTCTGGATAACAAGAATTATGAGATGTGCATATTTGACTGTTTTCTGTATACTAAGTACCCATTTACATGAGCCGGTTCTGCTATTGCTTCACACTGCACAGCTTCCATAAAATTCCTTAAAATCCATCTTATATAGTCTACACCTGTAGAAAGCCGCAGCACTAACCACCACTCCACACCAACCTAACCGCCAACATAATCAGACATTTAAATTTATACAAATTCAGACATCCTTCTTAAAATGAATGCATGCATATGCAATCAAATGTATTGAAAATCAATAAAATATTTACAGTATATGGATTGAGCCCATGAAAAGCATTATGGTGGACAGGTTCTTTGTGTGCAGTCTTACCTATGCAGTAACAGAGCAGGACGGAGAGCAGCACAGAAAGACCAACCGCACCGAGGGCTGTACACCTGAGACGGGAAGAAAAGAAAAATATCACACTCCAGTGTCCTTAAGGGGAACGATCGGTGACAATGGGGCATCCATATTTTGCAGTGCTTTTATGAGAAAAACTGAAACTCTCTAATAAGACATTGGGATCAACAGTATGAAGGTTTCTTCTATTTTTGAGTGTCACTACCTAAAGAGCTGCATATCTTTATAAACATCAATTCTCTGTCTATACACCAAATGTGTTACATGAACGCATTTGAACAAAAAAAGCCAGAAAAAATTGATTGAAAAATGATTAATCGTCGATTTTAAAGTGTTTAGAGATATTGTAACAGACTGCAAAGATATTAAAATCTAGTAAAACTATATCTTAATTCTAAAGGTGAGATGATAATCAGAAAATAAGAAACAGCTGAACAAACACATGTGAGGATCTCAAAAGGTAGGACTCCAGAATTGTGTTCAACACAAAATTGAAAATGCAAAGAACATGATAGAAAGATCCAAAAATACTCTACTTTCTCAAAACAGAATATTATTAGAAAATATATTGGAATGATTAATAAGTAAAAAAACACACACAAAGGAATAAGGAATGATATAAGTATTAATTTTAGAACATATGCACACACATAAAATTCTTTTCAGGGAAAGCCCTCCATATTTCAGGCAGATTATGCTAAACCCTTTACGGTATCTATTACAACAGCGCGGCTTCATAGTAGAAGCATTAGGGTGCTGGACTGATCCAGCTGTAATCCAGACCTATAACAAATTAGAGGCATTTGGCACATATTTGGCACAAATACTATCAAGACCCCGGATTAGAAAGCAGCTGGAATTCTGTGTCGGATAAGAATTGGGGGACATTTCTCGATCAGAGGTCCTACAGCTGGTTTTTCTCATTTCCATGTTTGTGGACTGAGGAGATGCTACACAGGGGTACACAGTTATGTCCCAGCGGTTTGGAGATTACTGCTGCCATCAGAATTAGGAGGAGCTAATATTTTCTATTAAATAGCAGTATAGTAAATTGAGTAGTAAATAGTCTCACTGTCACCATCTGATAATTATATTTTCTAATCTGGGATTTAAAAATAGGATTGATTTATTCTTATAGATTTTTAATCTTGGATTTAAATTTCGTTCAATATTTGACATTGCTACTTTCTCTTCTTTTTTTTAATTCAAAATTACACTTGGGCACTATTTTGCTTGTTTGTCAAAAATAATACACACAATATGTGTATTTATCAAACAAGCTACAAAAATCTGGAAATATTTTTTTCTGGTATTTCATATTCACGAACACACACACACATACATACACACACGCACACACACACACACACACACACACACATTGAGTTTGTGTGCACCCCCTTATGTCATCTCTATTGGAGAACATGTAAATACATACAATGTAGAATATGATGTGCATTCCATATAAGCAAATAATCTTTTGGGACTCTTGAGAATTCTTTGAACTTCTATCATTTCATTTTTTTTTTCTATTTGAGAAGTCAGCAGAGATAAAAAGAGTGAATTTCCATCTTACCGCCATGAGCAATACTTTGAGGATTTCTTGAACTTAAAGGCAGAGCGGGACAGGGTATTCCTGGGTAATGGCCTGGTGGGAGGGGAGTACACTGAACCTGTTGCCATGGTGTAGCCAGGAGTGGCCGTGGAAAAGAGGGGGGTGGTGCCTGTACCTGTTTTAAAGAGGAAGTGCCTTGAAGGCGAGAAAAGAAATACAGTAACAGAGATTACTGACTGTAAGGCAATTTCTTGATTTACATGCAGAACCTGTAAAATGAACCGAATTTCCATCACACACTGTTGTCCTCAGGCGCCAGCACCAGGTACCTGTGCAAATCTTTACCACTAGATTTTAGAGCCTGCCAAGCTAAAACATATCTCTTGAAAAGTTTAAGTTAAAGTTTGGATATTCAAATGTACACTGACTACTGTGTAGAACAGCCAGTAAAATGAAACCCCCTTCACGCCCACATTCCCTGTCGAGGTGTCCTGAAACCAACCAACCATCCATCCATCCATTTTTATAACCGCTTATTCCCTATTGGGGTCGAGGGGGAACTGGAGCCTAACCCAGTAGTCGATGGGCGAGAGACGGAGTACACCTTGAACGGTTTTTGGATGGTGGGAGGAACCCGGAGAACCTGGAGAGAACCCACGCACACACAGGGAGAACATGCAAACTCCACACAGAAAGGTCCTGGGGACTCGAACCCAGAACCCTTTTGCTGTGAGGCGAAGTTGCTAACCACCTCAAAGCCAAACCATACATCCTTGTCCTGAAACCATATATTTAATAGCCAATTTCACATAACAGTCTGGATGTCCATGTAAGATCAAAGATCTATAAGCTGAATCTGGACAAATGGTGACTGAGAGTTCCTTAGAAAGCTGAAACAGCTTATTAGGGCTAATGTTTCAAAGCCAAACCGTTTTTCCTTTTTTTAAGTTTCAGTTGGAGAAAAAGCAAATGTCTGTGCTGGAAACAATTACTGCCATATATACTGTAGCAAAGACAAATGCCACAATGTCTAATTAATGACAGGGCCCCAGCTAATAAGCATTTATAATTACAGTTGGACTGCTCTCTAACAAGGCTGTCTGATTAAACTATTACCACCTATTATAATAAGGGTCCCTCAATTAATACCTGCTACTAGGCAAGATGTGGAGAGAAGAACAAAAGGGAGAATAACGAGATGAATAGAAAAGTGAGTCAGAGGGGGAGTAACAGGATGAAGAGTCAAAGATATCAAATTGAAGTCGGACTGCAGGCGTTTAAGGAAAACCGTGAGCCCCTGCACCCAATTAAACAACCAAAAAGTCGCCACGGACATTCAGTTTTTGAATCCCAACGATTGAGAAATGCAAAAAACCGTTTGTTTTTTTTGCATTTATATACATGTACAGTCGTAACAAAGTAAATTAAGCACATATAAAGCACACAGCGAGACAGTTTCTGGTGCGAGTCCCGGGTGGGGTGGGTAGAGCTTGGATGTTCTTCTAGAAAGTGTGAGTTTTTCTGCTAATAATGTGGCTTCCTCCCACTGTGCAGGTTAATTGGCGTCTTTAAACTGACTGTAGTAATGTGTGAGTGCATAGTTATGTGTTGTTTATCTCTGTGTGGGCCCCTGTGACGGATTGGCGACCTGTGCGGGGTAAACCCCGCCTCTTCCTCAGTGGCAGCTGGGATAGGGTGCAGCCCCCCCGTTGACGCCGAGATGGATGGTCGAGTGTAGACGAGAGATGGATGGATAAATTCATCGAAGGCGAGTTTGGGGAAGATTTTCCTTTTTATAGAGCAGTATAGCCAGCGCCAATTTAATCTGATAATCAGCAGTTAGCGGTCAGAGAAAACCCCAAGACTGCAGATGCACTGCTGTGACTGAGTTAAAAGCCAAAGTGGTTCCCTGTTCTGCATATTAGGGACATTAGCGTGTCTGCGTCCTTCCTGCTAGTTAACGCCGCGCACAAGAACGTCCCCGCTGTGAACATGGCATGACTGGAAAGTCGAGTTTAATTAACCGAACTCTGGGAATTTGTTTACCTGATATCGACCCAATTAAAAACAAACTAATGCGACAAACTGCCATTGGAGACATCAAAACAGAAGCAGACGCAGCTTTTCGCTGTTTCCCTGCGATCCTATAGTTACAGATTCCAACTTTTCTCTCTCACCATCACTATATGTACTAATTAGAAATTAGGCAGGAGCATAGGAAAATAGGAAATAATGAATAAACCCCAGTGGCATGTAAACACACAAACCAATAAGCTAACAAAAACAATGACAAACCCAGTGGTATATGAAGACACAAATGGATCCTGTTTATTTGAAAATACAGGGACAACTAACAGTTTTGGCAAACTGGCACCAAAAAAAAGATGACTCTTCATTGTCCATTCATTTTCTAAACCCACCTGATCCAATTCAAAGTCTAATGGGGGCTGGAGCCTATTCCAGCTGCCACTGAGGGAGAGGCAGGTCACACTCCGATCAGGCCATAAGTTGATATACAGAGACAAATTGGGACAACCAGACTCACACACTCTTAGCTAGATTTAAGAACTAAATAACCTAACGTGCATGTTTTTTGCACAGTAGCTGGAGAGAACCCACATATGCACTCAAAGAACATGCAAACTTCAAAATATTCCCCAGTTGGGATTTCAACGTATATAAATATTTAAATCATCTTTAGTTTAAATGGTTTCCGATTCACATTTCCAGTAATATCTTTACATCCCTTGACTGCAACTTGCTATTTAAAAAATAAGAGCTGAAGAGAGTAGATGAATCACTTTATATAGTGAATCCTAATTATCTCAGATCTGGGTGATAACAAGAATTTTTTTTCTCAGCCTAGAGAGTACAGCATAAACGGCATCTATTTATATCAGAGTAGATGGTCCCTTGTGGAAACGGTAGTAATTCCTGGAATAAACTTTTGTTATGCCAGTGTGCGCATTGCCTTCACATACATACAATTTAAACAGAATTCGTACTTGCCAGATATTATCTATGCCAAAAATAAAATGATTGCAACCTCATTATGCATTATTTTTTTCTATTTGATAAAAGCAGAAATGCTCTGAACTGTTTCAGACTCGGTAAACATATAGAATTAGTTTTTTCATTATTAAAATAGCAAAAAGTCCTTTTTGTATGGATTCAATCATAGTCCAGCCATTTACTCCCTCTGTACTCCTGTATTTTCTAAGGAAATTGTATTTACTTGACAGCTGCCACTACTGAAAATTGCCAGTTTAGACCCTCATCCTTATTTTAGAAGTCATAAAATATATAATTTGAATCAATAATCTGAATCTTAATGTACGGTGTTTTACTTCTGATGAATTAACAGATGACAGGTATGTAAAGGCCTTGTGGATAATCAAACACAAAGCCACCTAATTTAGCATGCAAACATTGTCCTCCAATGTTCTGTTGTGCTATCTTTATCTCGTCTAAATCTCTAATGTCCCCATCAAGAAAAGTGCACAACATTAGTCAACCAACACAAAGGGAAAGCAGCTCTATACAACTGGCTCGACCACATTAAGTAACAGAATTTGAGGTACTTTTGTATCGCGACTGACACATCTTACACACTCCAGAGAGTGCGGATTACTCCGGTGATAAGAATCTGCCAGAAACACTGCAAGTGGTGTATCTCAATCACGCTGTGATTAAAATTCAAAAGGGAGACTTGGATGCTGCATTTGTATGATTGTTCAACTCGAAGTCCATAAAAATCAGAGAGAGCAGGGATAATCAACTGTAAAAGGAATAGGCAAAGTCTGCTTAGCTGAGAGGAGCGCCGTAGCATCCACAACTAATCTGATAGGCCATCGAGACTTAAAGCTCTTCAAAACCACAAGTACAGGGCCCACATTTACATCACATTAGTTCTATTTACAATGGTCCTTTAAGTTGGTGACAATGGGAACAGAACACGGAGGATTAGAGGAAGGCAGCTGTAATGTGTGCATGCTCTCCCAAAACTTATACAAATTATAAACGCCCAAGGATACAATAGCCATAACTAATGCCAAAATTATGGATCTCAATATGAGAATAACTAGTAAACAAAAGACGGTTCCATTCTTTTTTTTTTTTAAAGTGCAGTGAAGTAAACTAAGAACAAACATTAGTCGGTGGGATATACATACACAAATGCACATATTTTGTAATTGTTAATGCACCAGTATTTGGAACACTTTAGATTGTAAAATACAATCGTTGTTACTGGTGTATTTTCAAATATAGCATACATATAGCAAACATAATTATTTCTACTTGCATTTTTGAACAAAAGAGATATTTTCAGTGGATGAATGTTATACTTGGTGTATTTCTGACATTTTTGAGAACCCAGAGTGCACTGAAAGTCAAACAAGGAAGTTCACTTTTTGACTTTTGATTCAAAATGTTTCAGTCTGCACTGAAGACTGTAAAAAATAAAATGTATATACTTGATGGACAGCCCCAAACCTGTGTGTTTCCGCAAAAGCTTAGGACGGTAGCAATGCGGGAGGGCAAAAAACACCAGGTAGATGAAATGACTCAAAGAAGTACAACCATCAGACTAACCTTGTCTCCAGAGGCACATTGCTACCTAGCACCCAGCTGTCTTGCAGCGGGACACTCTCGGGGGGCGTGGTCTGCAGCTCGGCTGGTGATTGGCCAGCCACGGGGGCCGGGCTTCCAGTAGGAGGGGTGAGTTGCCGCGTTGAATTCAGAGTCTGGCCAGCGTGGTGCGTGGAGCTCAAAACTTGGTTAAGAGCTGTAACTGATGGCTGCTGGCGGTGAGGGGGGGGCACCGGAGGCAAGGCTGGTCCATGATGATTTGATGGATTTTCTGCGAACGACAATTTAAAAAGGTCGTTTTAAGGAATGCCGGCTTCTGTTTAGTAAGCACAATTTCGCTTAGCAGTTTGTCAATGAGCAAAAAGAAACTACAGCGGGTTGGTCAGGGGGTCACGTGATTCATCCTGACGAGCCCCGCCCAACAACAAAGGTGTGACTATATTATATCTTTGACGATCAACACTGTAATGGTGTGAAACAGTGATCCAATGCCAGGCTTAGCTGGTATATTGTTGCCTCAATATCATTGTTCTCCTATGTTAAATGATGTGATCGAAAACCACCTAAACCAAGTCGTGGCGAGGCGTATGAGATGTATAGGTCAGCATTTATTGAATGTATATTGATTGAGTGAAACTCAGTACTCAAAATGTTTCTCAAAACTGGCGTGGCCCAAACTTTTTTTAAATTTTCCTAATCTGTTTCTTCTCACTTTTCCATCCATGCTCCGAGCATGAGCGGCAAAGCCAGATTTGATTTGTATCACATCTCCGTTTCCAAACTTCCTGTTAGTGTGTCTCTACAACTCGCACTGGAGAGCATGGGAATGAGAAAAGAGGCTATCTACAGCAGAGGAGTGCGAGAAGGGGAGGAGGAGGAGGACCTTTTGGCTGGAGAGGAAGTAGAGCTATAGGCTGTACTGCCAACTGGGTAATTGTTCCAGTAATCCAGACCATCCAGGCTTCATGCTTATTACCACAAACACACACACAGACACACACACACACACACACACACACACACACACACACACACACACACACATCCACATCTAAACGCATTGCAAATCATTTTTGTGGACTTTTAAGGTAAGAATGTATTTTAGTAGCATGTACAAGACAAACAAGGCATTTTTCAAATGGAAGATGATTTTTTAAAAATGAATGCAAATAGGAAAACAATAGCATCATAGAGATTAAAGTTATCATGTCATCTCCTAAGATCCTGAGCATTGATCTAGAGAGCAAATTGTACTTTTTTTTTTTTTAAACCTACACAACATGCACTAAATAAAGGAAGAAAGAAACGAATCATCAAACTGCGTTTCAGCATAATGCCCTCTGCTTCTCAAAAGCAAAAATCCTCTGTGTGTGGCTGTGTTTGTAGTCATGGACAGCGGCCGCACAGCACTTCGTTCTTACTTTCTGTCTTCGGCTGCAGCACTCGGGAACGCTGTCTCTTTATGCATCACTGACATGCTTTAAATGCTGTTTGTGTTTAACTTCATCCTCTCCTTTACTCTTCCTCTGCATAACCACCGACACTTTTTCCCTTTATTCACTTGATTCCGTTAACTTATGCATTTTTTTCCTCAAACAGCATTAAAATAAATTTAAAAGTCCAGGAATTTCAAAGCCCATGAGAGAGTGTTGAGTGAATTCATTTTCATCTGTTAAACTTTAAACGAAAGTATAATTAAATTTCATCTGTTAAACTTTAAACAAAAGTATTTGAGTGTAAAACCACCAGTCAAATGTTTTTCGATCAAGTCGTTCTTTGGAGGTCTATAGTTGCCCAGATGTTAGGTGTCTAGCAAAGTACTATAAAGTTGTGCCTAAATGCATGTGTGTATAGTATCTGAATGTTGTGGCAAAGATCTAAATATGTGGAAGAAAGGGATAAAATGTGGTTTAATTGCCTTCTGTAAACCTGTTTTGATACTGTCTCATATTGTTTTACCATATCATTTTTAAAGATAAAAAAGTCACTAATTATGTTGTTTCTTTTTTTTTTCCTAGTCATTCTGCCTTTCATTTTTATTGTCTTGACATTTTCGACAAAGATGATCATAGCTTCATCTGAAACATCGTCCAGTTTTTAGGATATCTCTGCATTACATAATATAATTTAGATGTTACATAACATATATGATTATTTATGTTTTTCTGTATGCATTAGTCCTTCTCCTACTAGCTATTTAGCATTTAAATTACAATAGAAGGTGAATGAAGGTGAATACTAATCATATTAAATTGATTGACCTGGTGGCTCAATTGATTTATTTAATCATTAGGTGTGAGAAACTGACCACCAGGCTGAATAAACTGGCGGCTCAAAATCTGAAGTCAGAATTTGGTGCAATTTTACAGCATCTAACAACAATACTAATACCTTGTTATATGTTTCTATTCATGCTCTAAATGCGCTCACATAAAATGGCCATGTTATTGGGCAAACGATGAAAATCAAAATGAGATAACTCGGTTATCTGGCTCAAGATAGAACTACTTTATAATTTAACAAATCGTATAGGTGTACAACAGGACAAAAAGTGGTATGTTCAATCCTATCTGAGTTTGCTAATTTATACTAATCACTTGACCTTTATTGAGTCCTTTATGTTCAGAGTCTTAAATTAAATCCTCTGTACAAAAGTCCATTCTTTCGCTCATTCTTTTTCTGATTGTAAGACACCAAATTAAGATACTGAAATGTCATCTGGTAGACCCAAGATCTTGAATCTATGCTGGTACCTGGCACTAATAATTTAGAGAATAAAAAGCCAGTAATTGGATTTAGATGTTAATTATATGGTGGAATTTCCATTTAATTTGACAAATGTAATATTCATGCGTGCTCCTGTTAAATAATTTGCAACACCAACCAAAAATCAAACATTTTAAGCAAAAGACAACCAAATTAAAACCATTGTGAGATTCTAAAATGATGAAATACAGTTATGTTACCAAAAAAAGCTCATTCATAGACAAATAACACAGAAGCAGTTCTTCATCCTTACCACAATAATCAGGCATTCAGTTGGTAATTCCAAATTAGCTTTATTCATTTCTTTATTTTGGGTTTTTATATAGTGATTATACTGGATTTGACAGAAACCATTTCATGTCTATTCTACTCATGAGTTTTGTCAAGATGGACATAAATGGCAGACATATATGAAATGATTTACAGCTAATAATTTCCTGACTAACTGTAATGTCATTGCTGTGATTTTTTGACCCCAGTCTGTTCGCTTTACCTGCTCTCCTTAAAATGTGGTGTCATGTGAATGATATGAACCAATATGGTTAGTATGTATGAGACAACCATTTACATTATTTTAAAAGTGGTTATAAACCTAGTTAATGTTTTAGGATGGCCTTTTTGTTTAGCTACTGTTTGAAACTTTGGAAAGGAAATTGCTTTAGCCCATCATTTTCTGGATCATCTTATCAATACAGTTGCAAATAAAAAATAGGGATCACTGAACCCAGATAAGAGAAAGAGTAAGATTGTAATTGCTATTATACAGCATAGAGAGAATAAATCCGTTTTTTAATGGCTACTGAAGGAAATTGAAATCTGTCTACTGCTTAGATGTTTACTGGGCAATGAACGCTGTGTAAACACCTTCCCACTGAACCAAACACCAGGTTTTTTGACCAATGCAAAACAGCTACAGTTTAATTCGATTGCAAAGTGGATCTAAGTTTACTTTGCACTCAGTCTTTTCAGTAACACAATAAAAGAACACAATTAACAGGGGCCCGCAGGTCACGTTGTCTGACATGAGACTGCCCCTCAGTGGCAAAACGGTGACATGTTGCCATGTTATGTGCTAATATGAAGGTCTAGATTCAACCCCTTTAAACTTCATCACTTTTTTTACAGAAGACCGAACATGAAAGAGCAGAGGAGCGGGTTCAGACAGAGCAGGGCACAACACAGGAAACAAATGTAAAACACTTGAGGAAGCAGAACAACAATCAGTGGAGTTTAGATGAAATGGAGCGACAGCATGGAGGAAAAAAAAGAGACAGAGCATGAGTCTGAGGCAGATAGAAAGACAAAGAGAGAGCAGAAATGAAAAATTTTGAGAAAGAAGAAAATATCCTTTAGAAAGCGAAAGAGTCATCAACCCAGAGAAAGGGGTCAGTAGAGGAGTTAAGACTCGTGTTTCTCGAAGCATGAAAACTCATTCCACCTCTGGACTCCCAGGAAGGAGAGGGGAGTGAGGCAGGCCTGTTTCCCATGCCGTGGGCAGTCTTTGTAGCCGTTCGGTGGAAACTGCCCCAGTCTGGCTGTTAAGACCAACACCAGTAAACCAGACCCCCAAAAATTATTAGAAAATATTTCTATCAGCATATATATATATATATTAAGGCATACCACCACTCGAACAACAGGGTAGTTCCACTCTAGTGGTATTAATTCATCCTGAGAACAGATAATAGTGATGAGAAAAATTATAATGCTTTTAATGCCAATACGAGCTGGAAAAAAGTTACAATTGTGGGTGCCAATAGAGGGATATGCTGGACTCTTAAGTCATGAATATGGCTTTGAATACCACCTGAATTAAAATTTGCGATGTAAAAAGACTATCACAATAAGATTGGGTGCGAGGTGTTGTGTTCTCGTGCTGCATTACTCAACGGAGGGATTTCTCTCTGAGGAGAAGCCCTTCCTCGGTTTCAGATATTGATGCAACATCATGCTGTGATTAGCTCAGCTCTATTAAAACAATAATGCGACTGGCTCAGAGTCTCCACACATCCTCCGTTCTGTATTCCAGTCCTGCCGTTGGACAGAAACAGCAGGTGGCCACACAGGCTATGTACTGCATACTTGCAATTTTGTGCTTTTTTCAAATCCGAGCAGAGCCATATGTCTTTTCAGAAGCCTTCATCCAAATGTATATCTAACGAGACCAACGCATTTGCTTTGGGTTCTTTACTTTTAACATAAAAAAATCTAAGTTCCCTGTTAATCCAGATGGTATGCAAGTAGAAAAACGAAAAAGATGTACCTGGTGGATTTCTAAAATATTTCCTGGAGAATTCTTCCTTAAGAAAATAAAATGAATAGTTAGCATGGAATGTGTGTTCCACACTTTAAAAGTTAGTGCAACCACCTTGAGCAGCACTCTGTCTTTTAAGCCTTCTACAATACTTCTTTGTTAAAAGTGTTGCTTTTCTACGTTGTGGTTTGACAATATTCATTATATTCACTATAAAAAATATGTCTATGTCCTCCAAGGAATTTTGGGACTTTTAAATGGATC